TGACGAAGCTCCTTACTAGAACGGTTTCAATTTCATTTAATTTTCGTAGGTATTATTATGTGAGTAGGCATAGTGTTTTATTCTGTTAGTAGAAGTATCTAGTAACAATAAATATAGGGTATATATTACTTTCGCTTACATTGTTAGATTATACTAGAATGATTATTTGGAAAAGTATTTTTTTATATAATGAGCAAAAATAAATTTTATATTTGAACTTAATTATGTTATGATTACAGGATATTCTGATTTGAGGTTATGCCATAATGTCTACCTTATTGCTACGATACAAGAATATAATATAAATAACATCTAAAATTATATATTATACAATGTCGTAAGCCACTACTTTTAACACTGCTATTTTTAAAGAAGGCTATCTTGCAATAATGCTGTACACTCGAAAATATTATGCAAAATTAAAAGCCGCGGTCGCTTGCCGAGATAGATTTTTAAACTTTTTTTTTTAATTGTATAAATTAAAAAAAATTAACCACAAACTAGGCAGCACTTATCATGATTATATACTTTCGTCATACCTGTAAAAATTTTATTTAAATTTCTTAATTTCATTGATTTGAATCTTATCACTACTTAGCTCACAGTTTATACATTTTTTATATAACGTTAGTTTTAAATGAGTCGCTGTTATTTTAAAAATTTAAAATAAAATAAAAAATTGCATAACTTATTTTGGTTCCTGCGTTTTATTTTCTTCTATCTCTTACCCATCCTTTATTAATCTATGAATTATTGAGTGACTAACAAAATATCTGCACGGTCATATGACATTTGTCTATTTACGAGGGGTGGTCCAAAAGTAATGATAATCGGTTACTTCAGGTCCGCATAGAAATCCAAAAAAAATGTTTTTTCTTGCTTATATACTCACTACGTCAGCTTAAAAAAATCATATAAATAGATCACGATTTCCGGGAGATACATTCATTTGAATACGAACTATCAAAGAGATAACATCAACATGGAGAAAAACGAAATTAGAGCTGTCATCAAGTACCTCTGTTTGAAAAAATGTCTTCAAAAGACATACACAGTGACTTAGTGGAAACATTGGGGGACTCTGCTCCTCCATATTCTACAGTTGCACGCTGGGCCAAGGAGTTTAAACTGGGCAGAACATCTACTGAAGATGAACATCGCGAAGGACGCCCATCCACGTCCCTCACTGAAGACAACGTGAAAAAAGTCGAAGATGTTGTGTTGGCAGATCGAAGAGTGACCATCAGGTATGTAGCTGAGGTCACAGGGATCTCATATGGCAGCGTTCAAAGAATCCTTGCGAACGAGTTGCATATGAAAAAGGTCTCTGCGCGTTGGGTACCCAGAATGGTAACCGAAGAGCAAAAGAAAAATCGATTTGACATTTCGAGGGTCAATCTCGAAAAGTTCCAAGCAGATCAAGAAAATTTTTTGTTCCGTTTTGTGACTATGGACGAGACCTGGATCCACCATTTTGTTCCTGAAACGAAACAACAATCGATGACCTGGAAGCGAGACTCCTCACCGACGCCAAAGAAATTCAAAGTTTCAAGTTCGGCGGGAAAGGTTATGGCATCTGTTTTTTGGGACGCTCAAGGCATAATTATGGTGGAATATTTGGAAAAGGGAGCCACTATTACGGGCTCTTACTACGTAGAACAAATAAGAAGATTATGGGAGGCCATTAAGGAAAAAAGACGCGGCAAACTGCGAGCTGGAGTGCTATTTCACCAAGACAACGCACCGGCTCACAGAGCCGCAGTTGCGATGGCTGCCATTCAAGAAACGGGATTCGAACTGCTCGAACACCCTCCCTATTCGCCAGATCTAGCTCCTAGTGACTTCTATCTCTTTCCTCGGCTCAAGGAACGCCTCCGAGGCAAGAAATTCGAAGACGATAGCGAAGTAATGGCCGCTGTTGAAGCGTTTTGGGAGGGCCAAGACAAAGAATTGTTTTCAAAGGGAATCCTGGGTTTAGAAAAAAGATGGACTAAATGTATTGATTTGTTAGGAGACTATGTATTTTTTTTATATTTATATTTATTTAACATAAAAAAACATAATTAGTTACTTTTACAGTCTGCCAAACTGCTCAGCAGTTTGTTGGCAGAAAAATGTAGAAAAATAAATTATTATTTTAACTTTAATTACCGTGTTATATTTTCATTATCATTACTTTTGGATCACCCCTCGTAAATGGATATGGAATAATAGCAAAACGATGACTGGATTTATTGGCGGGAAATTCTGCTTTTCATTCATTCATATAGATGTTACTAATTAGAGTTCTAATGTTCTGTATTTATTATTATTATGTTCCAATAAATGTTTAATTTTTTTTAATTATAAAATATTACACATTTAAAGTCACGCAACTTTAGTAAAACATTACGTACAATAATCGGCTAGTTAGGTCCCGTCTGAGCGTGACTTCAACGTGGTTTTATGTCACTGTGTACTATAAAATATTTTTCAATTTTGGAGTTTCTAAATTGATCACTTAAAGATAGTTTTTGTAAATTAGTCCTATTTCCTAAAATTAGATTTGAAAAAATATTTTATTTAAAATAATTATTCGAGTAATCTTTGAAGTAAAAAGATTCCAAAATAAAAATAAAATACATATATAGTAGCAACAATCGACCGCGACTTCAAATTATGCAATATTATATAAAGCATAAACTTCCTATACGTTTCAGTTACGATAACGAAAATGGAACCTTCATTGATTTATTAATATAAATGTTAATGCTTAAACGGTGTGTCGGCGAACGCGTCGCGTCGCGTTTCGACAACAAATTTCCAATTTTGCCTTCAAACGCGCTGAACCCTGCAATATAAAATACAATATAGAGTGACAAGTTATAAACCTCCCATAGCTGGACACACCTCTAATTATAGAGAGAGTAATGAAGTGAGGGAGTAACCTTGTAGTGTGGGTGTAAGCATAGAATACTATAATACACAATAGAATGGCTGTCAAATTTATTTTGTACGAGGTTTGGCGTCGCCAAACCCGATTCGCTGTGTTGACAGACCGAGTAAATTTACACATTTTAGACTTTTGATTAATGTTCAAGATCATTATTAAAAAAAATCGTTTAAATTTTAATACATATTTATTTGTAAATAGGTTGCAATTTGGCATTTTTTAAATAATTTACATGTGAAATTTGGAAACGATTGTAACGTCAAAACACATCTCGTGTTGACGTTTATACGTGTGAATTGACGTGTAAGTGACATTTTAGTGGCTACGCGGGCTCCCCCCACTCCTCCGTTCTACTATGTATGTATTATAATATTCTATGGGTGTAAGAATATCCACATATCGTCTCGTGGGTGTCGTGGCGACAGAGTGAATCTGAAACTGGAGATGGGCGGCAGCATTTTACTGATAACAACCCGAAATAATAAAAAACTGGGCTTGCCAACCCGCTTGCCAAACGTGACAACTATGGTGAAATCCCCCTACAGGGCAATCTATGAGGGAGGCCTACGCTCAGCACCGGACTTTATTAGGCTCTAACGGTAACATGAAGGGTGATAAATCAGCAAAGCACCTTTTCAGCTTAACGCTGCTGTGTTTCGTATGGTCAGTGTAGACAATCGGAGACCCTTTTGTACTGGAAACGATGCATTCCATCTTAGTCCTCACGGGTGACAACGCATCTGCATTTTGATTCTTAACCGAGGACAGATGTAGATGTCTATGGGCCACAGTAACCACTTACCATCAAGTGGACTGCGTGTTTGTTTGTCACTCTTATTCTATTAAAAAACCTGATGATCATTATCATCATCATCATTACAGCCCTTCACAAGTCCACTGCTGAACATAGGCCTCCCCCAAGTAATGCCACAAAGCACGGTCCTGAGCCACCTGCATCCATCGACTTCCTGCATGTCTTACCAGGTCGTCACTCCATCTAGTGGGGGGTCGCCCTACACTACGCCTACCGGTACGAGGCTGCCACTCGAGAACCTTTCTTCCCCATCGGTTATCGGTTCTTCGAGCTATATGGCCGTCCCATTGCCACTTCAGCTTACTAATCCGTTGGGCTATGTCGGTCACTCTGGTTTTACTGCGGATATCCTCATTTCTGAGTCTATCACGCAGAGAAACTCCGAGCATAGCCCTCTCCATAGCTCGCTGAGCGACCTTAAGCGTCCTCATACGGCCAGCAGTGAAGGACCACGAACCTGATGATAAATAGATGCAATGGCCCAAAGATATCTACATCTATCCTTGATTAAGAATCAAAATGCAGATGCACATCACTTCTGAAGACAAAATATGGAAAGTCTCCTTTCCAGTAAAAAGTCTCCAGCTCTCAACACTCACCATACGAAACATACGAGAGCGTGGTACTCACCCGGTCGAGCAGACCCATTCGCTAATATAGCTGCAGCATGGCCCTGCCACGTATTAAAATGATTTCTTATGTTTTTGCGAACACTCAATAATATGAATTCTAACACTAGAAATGTACGATTTAAAAAGAAAATTAAATTAATAAAAAGTATTGAAAATGTGTGAAATTCACACGCGGTAGAATTGAAACCTTCAGAAAATTAAACTTCGAGAGAATGAGACTAACGCTGAGCACCAACAGTAGGATAATGATAGGGTTTACGCAATTAAACTGAAAAATTAAACAACGTATACTGTATTTATGTCATGTTTTCGCAAGCTAATTTTTAGTGTCGCTTTTTCTTTTCATCGAGTTTCAAATCACAACGATTGTGAAGAAGTTTTCACTTCAAAAAATCATAAAACTCGTATTGTTATATCGAGCGAAGGCTTACCATGCGCGAAGGCTCAGAAGGAATAGAACCCAGAGCCGTAAAGCCAGTTAATACAAAACTACCGTGCGCGAGTGATGACGCTAGGAGTCCACTGGGTAGTCCATGGTCTTGATGTAGGCGACGGCGGCGCAGAACTGTATCCACCAGTACAGTTATGTTGAGGGAAGACTTACCGTGCGCGAGTGATGGCGCTAGGAGTCCGCCGGGTAGTCCATGGTCTTGATGTAGGCGACGGCGGCGCAGAACTGCGTCCACCAGTACAGCGCCTCGCCGCACAGCGCCGCGCCGCCCAGCGCGTTGACCAGCTCGATGGTCGACAGTAGCGACGGCGGGTTCACCTGCACCACGTAAACCGACGCTCACACCACACACAAACTATACACATAGAATAAATTAAGAACCTTATAGCTCATGGGCTAAGCGCCCGCTGGAACATTTACACTAAGCGGGTAAATCACAAACTATACCTTTTAGGAATTTAACCCTTCAAGCCCTAAGCGGTCGAAGCGGTCGAATTCAACCGCGGCGCTATTCCGTCAAAATTCAAGTGGTCGAATTCGACCGCGCACACCCACTGCACTAAATCATTAAAACTTATATTTTGAGACTACTTTTTTTATAGAAGTTTGGCATTATAGAATCAATATGAAATTTTCTATCCTCTAGTGCAAGGGTCGGCAACCTTTTTAATCGGAAGAGCCAAAAATTACAATTAACAAAATTTAAAAGTTTTTAAAGAGCCACAATTTTTTTCTTGCCAAGCATAAGTAGTACTTGCATAAATAAAGATTTTTGATAAAAAAATTATCTGTTTATTCATAAGAAAAATATATGTTTATTCATCATATAAAAGTAGTTTTTATTTCACAACAAATTAGAATCTACTTTCTATTATTATTATCTATTTATTCGATTATATATATATATAATTACATAATCACTTATTATTAAAACAAAAAATTAAAATAATGCAACATTTACATATTTACATTGCAATATAGTCTTACAACACCAACTTGTACTTCAATAACAAACAATTGAGCAAACAAATTCAATGGAAGCTTTGACTTTGCACAATTATTTAAGAAGAATATTTAAACTTTATTCAATCATGTAACTTGTACTTAAAAATAAAAAACCAATAACATACATTTGAGCAAACAAACTTAATGAGAGCGTTGGCTTTGTATGGTTTTAAAAAGTTTTGATAAATTTGGCTCATAACTTGTAGTTTTAAGTTTCAAACACGACTCGAAATTATCATTTGTTACCTTACTTTTAGTTATATTCATGCAAGAGAACGCTTGCTCGCACGAATATTTTTAAAATTGTCCATTTTGTTGCGTTATATACATACATTTCTGGACCTCCAACTCTTCCAACTTGCTTTTCAACTCTGTAAATTTTGCACTCTTTAAAGCTTTATTTTTTAAATAGATCAATTTCATTTCTAGAAATCCAGTATCAACTTCAAATAGCCTACTGTGGATTTTGTGTGTGTGGGTTCGGTGAAAAGCGAGTACAAGTGGCTCGAAGATAGAAATGGTGCCTAATACTCGTTAATCGATTCAGAACGATTTTTAAATGTTTTTTTTATATAAAATAATTAATATTTGCGTATGGAACTAAAGAGCCGCAGCTTCACATTCAAAGAGCCGCATGTGGCTCGCGAGCCGCAGGTTGCCAACCCCCGCTCTAGTGCAATAAAAATAATTATACCATGGATACTTATTTATAATCTACGTTCATTCCGTACGCCATTTTCGCGTGAATGTTATTGTGTTGATTTTTGGATTTTTCTAGTGTTTTATTAGTGTTTTAGTTATTTTAGGGTTTTATTACAAAATTTGAATGAAAGTTTTTGTGTAAATATAATTTATCTTTTTACGTAAATAATTTCGAGTAATATATATTGAAATAATTGTGATACTGCCGACATTCGCTTTGTATGTTATGTTTTTGTTACCAAAATACAATAGTCTTTTTGTAATGAAGTAAAACCTGACTTTTATATAGAGAATTTTGTATAGATTTTATAATTCCAAACTTCTTCATAGAAAAGTAGTCTCCAAATATACGTTTTAATGGTATCAAGTGCTGCGGATGGGTGCGGTCGCATGCGACCGCTCGGGATTTGCCGGGCGCTTGCGACTGCATGGGAATTTTAAGGGAATATGGTAGCACAGGGGTTAAGCTCTTGCTGGAAAATTCATACTATACGGGAAACCGGGTTCAATCCATAGAATACTATAATACGCAATAGAATGGCTGTCAACCTTATTTTGAACGAGATTCGGTGTCGCCGTGAGCACACATACAAGCAATTACGTCGTATTATCAGTTAATCACTACTACAAACCCGATTCGCTGTGTCGACAGACGGATTTTAATACAAATTTATTTGTAAATAGCGTAAATTTGGCATTTTCTAAATAATTTGCGTGCGAAATTTGGAAACGATTGTAACGTCAAAACACATCTCATGTTGATATTTATACGTGTGAATTGACGCGTTAGTGGCATTTTAGTGGCTACACGGGCTCCGCCCACTCCCTCGTTCTATTATGTATGTATTATAGTATTTTATGCTTCAATCCATGCCGGCACCAATGAAATTGTTAACTGCAATTTCGAGTACTGATTTATCACGTGTTCGGCGGCGAAGGAAAACATCGTGAGGAAACTTCCGTGTTTGCATAACTAAAAAAAAATTCAAAGACATATGACAGACATTAGGTCGCCAACGAGTTTTGGGGCAGCGCCGCGGACTCTTCCATGCACTAAAATTCTCTCAGAAATAATTCTGCAGTAAGACGTAGCTTAAAAGTACTCAATATAAGAATTTCACGCATTCACAAACACAAATTAATCTTAAATCATGTGCAAACAAGAACATGGTTTTAGGTGCATAAGTGTACGTGATAATAAAAGCAAAAAGGAAGAAAAAATAAAGATTTATGTGTGAATGCGGATAAAGAAGGTAAGCATATCATTAGTTTGAAGAAGTCATTACGTCTAAAAAAAAGATAATCACTTTTAGTATAACGTAGACGAGCACGGGCGTGAGGTCGTCCGCGGAGGGCGCACTACCGTCCGTCAACGCAAGCACCGACATTATGGACGACACGCACCGCATTATGCAAGATAACTGTAAATAAATACAAATGATAATGGTTAAAGTTAAGAAATAAAGTAAAAACCAACTTCAAAACAAAAAAGTTGGTTTCTACTTCTAAAGTTTGACTTTGACATTTACTGTAAACCACAGAATATATAAAAACAAGAGGAAGTCCAAACTGGACGGAGCAGCATGTCACAAATAGGCGCAGTATTCCCTAATGAGGGTTAATAATCTTCCACTTACCAGATTATACGTGGTAGAGCCATGCTGCAGTTATATTAGATGTATAGTTGTAGCACGAATGGGTCACGAAGAAGTACCACGCTCTCACAGAATACCAGAATATTTTGTAGAGTATTATATTAATACACAAAACAAAGCCTTGGTTTGCTTTTATAACTTTTTTAATATTTTGACTAAATATATTCATTTGTTTTCATCTTAAAATAACTCACTCGAAATCAAATATTCCACATCATTCCAAGTACACGCAGAAAAAATCTATGCCCTTATTAATCGAAAGGCTACTGAGTTTCGATTATGCGCAAAATGCCATTTGTACGGATTTAAGAGAAAACAAAAAAAACAAATAAACCGGGGAGATATCAAATTGTTTTTATAACAACGAATATTCAATTCTTATTTCGGTAGTTTAAGGCTTATCTGTCAATACGACTTTAATAAAAAGAACTGCGATAGTTGATCAAAACTACTTTTACGGATTTTTTTCGCGTTTAATTTTACTTTTAATTACTTTTATTTTTAATTCATCATGACATCGGGACGTCAGTCATCTCAGTCCCCCGTGACCATGGGTACTGGAAAGCGCCCGAAACGTCGGGAATTAAAAATAAAAAAGTAATTAAAAGTAAAATTAAACGCGAAAAAATCCGTAAAAGTAGTTTTAATCAATGTGTAGTGTTCGCGTAAATATAAGAAATCATTAACTGCGATAGTGTTGTGGATACGCCGATGCAAGATTTTATTCATAAAAATTCGATGGCTCCGTGGTGACATGGCTTGCCTTAACTGGGAGATCCGGCGCTGAGGCCCGCGGGTTTAAATACCGCACGGATCAAGTATTCTATATGACATGACCTAAACTTGGAGCGACGCGCGCGCGCACGTGTGTGTGTGTGTGTGTGTGTGTGTGTGTGTGTGTGTGTGTGTGTGTGTGTGTGTGTATGTGATGTGTGTGTGTGTGTGTGTATGTGTATGTGTGTGTGTGTGTGTGTGTGTGTGTGTGTGCGTGCGGCACCTTGTCGCGAGGCGTGCGGTAGACGGGCAGATGGCGCAGCTGCTGCTGTGCGTGCGGGAAGGGCGCGGCCCAGGCGTGGCGCGGCGCGACACCGGCTCGCAGCGCGCTCGTGCACGCGCCCAGCCGCCGCACATGCTCGCTCAGCACCCTGCGCACAAACACACACACAACCACATAACGCACACGAACCTCAGAATTATACGAAACGGAGGCAACTTATACTATCCAGCAAGTCGTCAGTACTCGTTGGTCACTCCCCACAAACATAACTGTCGAGAGTAAACTAAAAATTACAGGTGTTACGTGACATATGTGTTATTATAAGATACTATAAATAATCTTTAGATGAAAAAATTACAAATTTTATTTTACGCAACGTCATTCAAATCACCAAATCATTAATATGCAAACAAGACGAACGTCTACGAGTCAAACGAAGTTAGAATATAATACAAAGTTAACTAGTAACTTTGTACTATATTCTAACATAAAAACTCCAAAATAAAAATTAATATTTATACTACAACTACCATTACATACTTTTTCTACCATCCGTTAAACGTAATATAAAACCATAAGTACGCAGAGTTATTTTTCAAAGAATAGCCAAATTTTAAACTTAAGTACAAATATATAAATAATGATATACCTTTATTGAAGTGTTTGAAAATACGAGTAAATCCGCGGGTAAAAAGCTAGTACACAATAATACAGGAGCAGCAATTCGCTACCGATCAAGTTCCCGTAAAGTACTCACTGATCTCGTGCAATGTCGCCGTCGCCATTAGGGAACAGCACGTGTAGATACAGACGCGCAAAGGCGGCACGCTCCACGGTGATCTCTGCGCAGTCTAGCAACGTTGACGTCGCGCCTGCCAATCGAAATAAAACGTTAATCAAAGAAACGAGAATTATTTGTTTATTGTGAATCGATTTATAATAGGGAGAATCGATTGTTAATATCGGTTTTATGCCTAAGTATTAGACAAGAGCCGTGGTAGCTCAGAAGAGCCGTGGTAGCTCAGATGGTTAGCGCTCGCTGTAAATTTCACAGTACGCAAGCAAGCCGGGTTCGATCCCCGCCGGCACCAATGAAATTGTTAATTGCAATTTTAAGTGCTGATTTACCACGTGCTCGGCGGTGAAGGAAAACATCGTGAGGAAACGCAGCGAGAAAAGAAAAAAATCGAAGACATGTGAAGTTCGTCAACACGCATTGGGGCAGCGCGGCGGACACTTCCTTGCCCTAATATCCTCTCAGAAATGAGAGGAGGCCTGTACCCAGCAGTGGGTCGTATACAGGCTGTAACTTTACTTTACTTTTACCTAAGCATTGCAAGCTATATTGGCGGATGATACATCAGACGCAGCAGGTAACATAAGTTGTTCATTTTTAATTAAAAATGTTGTTTTTCTTTCTCTTTATTTGGAATAAGAAACAAGGAAAACATTAAATCAGTGTAATAGGACTAATCACACGATACCGTGGATACCCGTGGATAATGTGATGACGTAATCAATCACATTATCCACGGGTTAACTATTATTGTTGTAACGTGGTTTAGTACAGGTTGTGCGCGATGGGACGGTCATCGTCACCCATTAGACTTTTAGTATATAAAATTAGATTATTAAAAGATCGTTTAATGAGGTCGCGGACGAGGAGGACTTTCATTAGTTCAAATGGCACATTACAAAAAAAAAATACTAACCTTCCCACGATGGGTCGGCCTTCACTTCAGCGGTTATCGCTTTAATGCTGGCCATCAGTCTTTTCGCTTTTTCATCCATCAGTTCGCCACCTGTTTAAGAAAAAAATTGATCAGTTTATACAAGATATTTAAAAGAGACGGTCCATTTCAGGCCCAGTTTATGTACACTATATTGTAAAAAGAGAAAAATTCAAGGATTCTATTAAATATAAAATAAGAGAATAAATCAAACTAAATTACTTGCTAAAAATAAAAATGCAATTCCAATTTTTGATGATTTTACAAGATGGCGCCCTTCCAGTCATAAAATTATATGTCAAATGTCACGTCTGAAAAGTGTGTAGGTAGTGTGATATTTTTTTATTCCGTGCTTGTTTGTGCAGTTGTGAACTCGTGAATGCGTTTATTGTGTTTCTTTTGGATTTCACACGCACAGCACACGAGCCGCCGCTGCAGCAGCGCGTCCATGTACTGTGCACTATATACTGTTCACTGACCGTTGAGCAGCGCGTGGTTGATGTGCGCGTGGTGATGGCGCGCCAGGCGGCGCAGCGCGGTGCCGCGCTCCAGCTGCTCCAGCACACGAGCCGCCACTACAGCAGCGCTTCTATGTACTGTGCACTATATACTGTACACTGACCGTTGACCAGCGCGGGGCTGTTGTGCGCGTGGTGATGGCGCGCCAGGCAGCGCAGCGCGTTGCCGCGTTCCAGCTGCCCCAGCACACGAGGCGCCGCTGCAGCAGTGCGTCTATGTACTCTGCACTATATACTGTACACTGACCGTTGACCAGCGCGTGGTTATTGTGCGCGTGGTGGTGGCACGCCAGGCGAAGCAGTTCGTTGCCGCGCTCCAGCTGCTCCAGCACACGAGCCACCGCTGCAGCAGCACGTCCATGTAATGTGCACTATATACTGTACACTGACCGTTGAGCAGCGCGTGGTTGTTGTGCGCGTGGTGATGGCGCGCCAGGCGGCGCAGCGCGTTGCCGCGCTCCAGCTGCTCCAGCACACGAGCCGCCGCTGCAGCAGCGCGTCCATGTACTGTGCACTATATACTGTACACTGACTGTTTACGCCCGATAGTCTCGAGCGGGGTGAGGTAACAGTTAGTGTCGCGCGGGAGAGGAGGCTAGCTGCGTCGTGCGCGCAGCTCAAGCGTGGCAGTCGGCCGAAAGCCTTGATCGGTGAAACCGCGCCAGCGGAACGTCTGGCGTTACGTAATATCCCGGGTCGATTTAGAGGTCGCGCGTTGTTTTGATATAATTTTGCGTCGAAAGGGCGGCCTACTGGTGTTATCTTATATTGTACGTATCCGTGATAACGTGGCTTATTTCTTTAGTTTGTTTGCGCGAAGCCCGGGTCGATTATACGTTGAGAGCCCCTTTGTGTTCTCTTATATTTGAGGCCTACTTGGAATTTGTAGTGATTAAAGGAGCTTTTATGCCGTTAATTGCATCGAGGTAGTTTTGTGCTACGTGAGCCTGGGACATTGAACTTTGACCAACCGTCCTTGAGTTGTGCAGTTTGTCACTGTTAAACGTCGATTAACATTGATTTGGTTAAATTTGAAGTTAATTAAATGTACAATAAACTAATAAACTAATATAGTGAAAATAGAAGCGGAAGTTTTCCATTGGTGTACGTCCCTTTGGATGGGTCCCACATTGAGAGAGGCAGTGCCTTGGTATCCGCTGTCCAGGATCAGCGGGGTTGTCAGGTTACACATTAAACACAGTACTGCACACCACTTACATACACATCACCTTTCACCTGACAATTGCCCTGTGGTTAACCATACCTCCGCCGATCGGTAAGTGTTGCTTGCTTCTTTGTTAGCCGTTATAGTTTAATTATCCATAGGTCTTGGACCCTCCCCTTTGTTACCCGTCGAATTGGACTACTAATGGGCCCTAGTCTCGATCGGCTTTTGTCAGGGTAGCATGGGGGCAGTAACAAAGTGGTAGCAGAGCGTGGTTGTTTGTTTCGACAGTCACTTCCGGCCGTAATACGTAATAATAATTTTTTGTTTTGTTCGCGTGTTGTTTGTTCGCGGGTCGGTAGAATTTAGAACCACGCCCGCTAAGCGGCGTAAGCGGAGTGTAGTTAGGTTTAGGTACTTCTGTAAGGTTTATCGTTATTACATAAGCGTGTAATTATCGTATTATCGTTATTGCATTCGTATTGTAGATCAAATTGCCGAAGTGTCGATCGCCTTAACGTGGCGTCGTGTTGACCGACTGTAGTTAGTACTCGCGGAGGAGTAATTGTGTTTGATTTAATTAGGCCCTTCATTATATATATATAATGAATTATATTATATTCCGCCCTTCAGGGATCTGCTGCGGTTCTTGGAGGAGCAGTGCAAGTAGATTGAGAACGCAGCGGGTACCATCGACGACCTACAGACTGCCAACCGAGCCGTGCCCAGGGAGAGGCGGAATCCCCCGGGCAAGCCGTCGTCAACCCCCCTCAAATCGAGCGGTGCTCCCGCGGGAGGGCGCCGCCCCCTACCTTCTTATAGTGGCCTGGTGGCCAGGGAGGCGCCCCCCTGCTCCTATTGTCGAGTATCCGATCACCGGGTGATTTCGTGCCCTAAATTATTAGGTAAGCCGGTCCCAGCGAACCGAACTATCGCCAATAAGGAGCGCCGCTGGTGCTACTCATGTTTGGAAAGGCACCTCCAACGAGACTGCCCGCACCAGCGGCCCTGTCCGCACTGCCAGGGCAATCACCATGCCGTTTTGTGCCTGGGTGCGAACGGTGCTTCCTCTCGAGGCTCTGCCGGGCCCTCATCCCCCACGGGCGGGGGCGCTCAGCCACGCCCTCTGTCGGGCGACGCTCGTCGCTCTCCTGCCGGCCACCGTGCCCCTGGTTTTGGAGGGGGTCCCTCCCACGACCAGTCGTCAGGGGCACAGGGTCGGGGGGGGGGGTCGTCACACCCCTCAGCGCGTGGAGAGGAACTTGACAGCCACTCAGCGGTCAGCGAGACCCTTCTCACCCCCGTTGGCTGAGAGGCCGCGACTGGAGTACCATCCTTCCCCCTTTGGTCGGTACCGGTACTACGGGGTTCCTCTGACCTCGAACCTGTCCCGGGCCTCAAGGCCGAGGTTCCCTGAAGCTCCCCTGGTCGGCCCGTTCGGTTATTTTCAACCTCGGGTCGTTGAGATGCCGCCGGATTGCCACTTTCGGGACCCCCGGTTCGAGTGCCAGTCCGATGGAGGCAACTCCAACTAGGTAGCTGCCGCCCTAGCTCCTACCACGGCCGCCTCCACTGACCTTGTGAGTCGTCAGTCCACTTGTCAAACGGTTCTATTGTCGACGGCCTCAGTGAAGGTGTGTACCACCCGAGTGACGATTGTGTAACGGTTCGTGCTATATTTTATTCGGGTTCAAACGCAGTGTTGCCTCACCTTGGTTGTTGGGGAGACTAGGGCTTATCTGGAGCTTTGTATGCTTAGAAAAAAAATGTTTTTTGCTTTGGTTTTTCCGCGAAATGTTTCGTATTTGTAGCGGTTTTGAGTAAAAAAGGTGAATTTGAAATGCTCTTGAATACATATTTTTTAATATATGTATATATGTGTTTTTGTAAATGTATTTGATCATTATGTTTGCTTTGTTGAAAAGAAAATTGAAATTGAGTAGCTATTTGTGCCGAAGGAAATAAAAATTAATCGTTCTTTTGTTTTCACATTTTATTCGCATTGTCGAAGATATTTGTTTTGGAAAATATGGTTACTCTAATAATGGAATATGGTTATCTTTATGTTTATCGTTTGCTTAATTTATCTGTTTTGATCAATGTGCATCGAGCGCTACAGCTGCTCCAGCACACGAGCCGCCGCTGCAGCAGTGCGTCCATGTAATGTGCACTATATACTGTACACTGACCCCCGTCCTGTAATGTGCACTATATACTGTACACTGACCGTTGAGCAGCGCGTGGTTGTTGTGCGCGTGGTGATGGCGCGCCAGGCGGCGTAGCGCGTTGCCGCGCTCCAGCTGCTCCGCAATAACAAAACCAGCAGCGCGTGGTTGTTGTGCGCGTGGTGATGGCGCGCCAGGCGGCGCAGCGCGTTGCCGCGCTCCAGCTGCTCCAGCACACGAGCCGCTGCTGCAGCTCGCGCGCACTGCCTGCACTCCTCGCGGACTAATTTAATTTGCCTGTTCAATATAACAAATCAAATTACATTGGACTGTTGTTTGTAACGAATTGTAATAGCACAATAAACAGGCCAATAAAGAAAATTATTTAAATGTTATGATTTATATAGATTACGTTCATTTGTAACATAATTTACATGTACGTGTATAATACGCGTATAATATACGTTTGTTTTTGACTTAATGTAAAGCAGAGTTCCCCAAACTTTTTTATGTCGTAGACCCCTTGCCATGTTTTTCCGTGTTGGGTAGACCACCTACTTACCTGATATTGATTTCTAACTGTAGTGAAGTTTAGTGTTAAAAACTTAAAAAAACAAACACATGTTAATTTATACATTTATTAATTGAATTTAAATTAAAACTACTCAAAATAAAATTTTGTATCTGTTATGTAAAATATACGTAGCATTAAATAAACATAAAACAAACTATAAATAAAATAACATAAGCAATAAGTCAATATTTTTAGTGAGAAGGATGAACCTGATGCTTTAATAATAAATTATCAACATTTGGCGTCAATTTTGTAAGAGTTAATCTTAAATCTCCTCGGCCAATGATGTCCAGTCTGTTTCTTTTTTTCGTTAGGAGATTGGTAACAGCGCTGAACCCCCATTCCACTTATGACGATGAAAGGAAATTAAAAATTTCCTCTCTATATTCATAATACATAAGTAACGGGTATGTTGTTTTGCAGCCAGAATTGCTGATATCCGTTTTTATACTGAACCTTAATTTCTTCGTTTGTACTTAGTTCAGTCAGTTCCTCTTGTATTATGACATTCGTTTCTTCTATGTCACCATATGGATTAATTATCCACGGTTGTATTACCATAGTCAAAATATCCTCAAACCTAGATTCAAAATCTGAATAGAGGGCATTTAAATGTTGAACGTAAGTTGAAACGTCGTCTTCCTGGCAGCTTGTCTGTGACAAATTGGGGAACTGAGAAAATTCGCCCCGTCCAATATTTTGCTTTATTAGTTTAACTCTGGCAAGAAACGCTGATAAGATGGACTTTGTTTTAATCAAATTTAAACTGTCGCCTTGTAATTGCAAATTAACCATATTAAATTTTGTAAACAAATCTGTTAAATAGGCGATGTCTGTTTTCCTTTTCATTAAATTGTCTTTTAAAATTTTATCTTTAGTATCCAGAAATTCTAAAATAGTGAGACATAAATAACTCAAGATAAAATTTATTTATTAAAAGTGCAAAAAATCTTGTCAAACATAAGCCTTTCGACAGCCAGCGTACTTCAGTGTGAAGGAGTAATTGATGAAAGTGTTCGTCATTTTCTTCTCACAACTGCGCAAATAACCGCGTATTCAACGCGTTGCTTCGGATTCGGTTTACTGCATGAATGAATAAATGAAGCGATTCATGCAATCTAACACTCAAATTTTTAGCAACTAAATGTTGTCGATGGATGACGCAATGTATTGCTAACAGCCCTGACACATTTTGTTTTAAATAACTTATAAATCCACGATAACGTCCAACAATGGCAGGTGCTCCATCTGTAGCTATTGATATTATATTTGATAAAGGAATTGCTTTTTCAATGAAGTAATCCTTCAAAACATGAAATATTGATTCACCTTTAGTGTCGGTTATCAAAGTTCTTGCGAAGAGCAGTTCTTCGTAGATTTCTTGATTCATAATAAAACGAACATATGCCAATAATAATGCTGCATTATCAGGTAAAGTTGACTCGTCCAGTTGTATAGAGAAATGGGTCGTTTGCAAATAATTACATAAGAAGCTTTCAATATCAGAACTCATTTCATTAATACGTTTTTGAACAGTATTGTTGCTTAAGGGAATTCTTTTAATGATATCAGATGGTTTGTGTAAAACAGTTTTTAAAACCTCTTCAACGGCTGGCAAAATTAACTTCTCTCCGATAGTATGCGGTTTTCCGGATTTTGCTATAAGTAACGAGATATTGTAAGACGCCCGCAAACCATCATCATTTCTTTGTGACGTCGAAGCGAACATTCTGTCCAGTGTAGGTCTCTTCTGAAATTTATTTGATTTTTAAGTATTTCAAATCTTTCCTGTTTTATCAGGGTGGCAACTTCTCAGATGATCTTGCAGTTTAGATGTGTCATGCCCAAAACTTTGTTGCATAAAAGGCACATAGGCAATTGTTTGTCCGGCAATGATGGAATGAAGCCAAATTTAAAATAATCGACACTGTACTGTCTACATTTCTTTTTAGATTCGGACATGGCATTAGTCATCTGTGAGCAAAATTAAATTATTTAAATAAGACAGAAAATCCAGCAGCTGTATATTAAAAATATTTTTTGATTTTTCCGAAAACATTCCATAATTCGAACATCTTCTTGCAACAATTAGCTCGAATTACGGAGATTGCACTATAATTATAATACCGATTGCTAAAACTTTCAAAAAGAAACTATTGAGGAGTACTCGTGTAATTTTGCATGATTGAATATTAAACTACTAATTAACTAAAGTCATGATTGGCGTAATTTATCTATCTTTGCTAACTACGAGTACAAAACTAAAATTTTATAAAAAAATTATGTACTTACTTTTCTCCAGCACTCTCAAACAAAATAACACTGACTCACTATAATTTGTGTGATATACTATCTTTTTATATTTTTTAAAATATTTTCTTAGCACTTTCCTTTTCAAGATTCAGGAAACGAATAAACGTATTTGTCCCACATTCGTATTTATAGTGACGAATTGAACAAGTCAGTACAAGGTAGCGAAGCTCTGAGACTGCCACTCTCAAGTTTTTACAAGTTCAAAATGTATTGCGACCACAAAGCGAATACCAACATCCTACAACTTACACAATTTTATAAACATATATAATAAATTTTTTACCTCATTTGTACTTTTATAAATAATGTATATGTTTTGATATTATAAGATAGTATGATGTAAGTAAATAGGTACTATCAGTGTATGTGTTGAGATCCACTATCGTGGACCCCCATTTTTATTTCATGGACCCCCAAATGTTTTTTCGCTGACGTAGACCCCTTGCAGGATGTCAAAGACCCCTAGGGGTCGATATAGATCACTTTGGGAATCACTGATTTAAAGCAAAAAAAGCGTACGCGTTTGCGTGTATGTTGGCATGCGTACGTGTGCGTTTATGTCCGTGTCAGTCGTTGACCTGCGGTGCGAGTGTGTGCACATACATATGTGCGTGTGAGTGTATATGTGTGTGCGTGTACACTCACGTGCGCAGGTCGTGGTGCCTGTGAGCGAGCGCGGCGCGGCACGAGGCGAGGTAGGCAGCGTACGGGCGGCGCGCGGCCAGATCTGCGCGCAGGGCAGCTGCCAGGCGCGCGCCTCGCTCACCCCCGCCCCCACCCGCGCCCGTGCCCCCGCCGCCCGCCAGCGCGCGCCCAACCGCCGCGCTCTCCGCGCACCCGCCCGCGCGTACGAACTCCACTAGCGACGTGCTGGTACAGCGCTGCCGAATATATGTAAACTGTTATCCTAGTAAGACACACATTACAGCCTATAGACGACACACTGTTGGGCATATGTCTGTCATTTCTGATCAATGCATGTTGGCATATTGTCTTTAAGTATTTAATTTTTCTCACACATACTTCAATTATTTCCTCACGATATTTTCCTGCAGCGCCAAGCAAGTGGTAAGAGCACTTAAAACTGGAATTGACAATTTCATTGGTAGCAGCGGGAATAAACTCGAGTTACTCGCGTACTGTGAAATTTGTAACAAGCGCTTATGAGCTTACACGGCTCATCGATTAAATTAGGTTAGCGAAAAATCTATAGTGGGGCGCGATTCCACCTGATACAACACAGTGCAAGAATATTAAATAATAATTGTATCTACACATGGCCTACGTTCATGCTTTGATAAGTTTGGAACAATAGTGTAGAAAAACACGGACCTCTATATGGACTGGCACCGTGATATAAGGAGGCGATTTCATTTTCGCCATTTTGCGCGCTGACAGCAGAAATGAGCGTCCACGGTACTAATTATAGAGATAAGAGTGTGATAAGCCCTCTTATCAACAGCAGCGACGATCAGTCATGGATAGTTTTTTAGTAACACCACCGCACGTGAACCCCACGGACCGTACCGTACCGTACACAGATATGTACTTCATTTCTCAGATACTCATATTTGGGCTACTCACTTAGTTCAGTTGCCTCTGATGCCGCCCCTACTTTAAAAGAGGTACCCCTGAGATGAGAGGCTTCCAGTGTCTTCGTAAGTTTCACACTAAAGGTTTATTTCACTTCCAAGCATCGAAAGTCATGCCATTGTCGTTAAATATTATACCAAGCTCTAAAACCACGGGAACTTTTATAGAGACCTGAGCTGTTCAGATGGCATCGCTTCAAGGACCGTGACCGTGAATATCATATTATTATTACACGGTTATTTAACCGTTTAATAAAATATGGTATTAAGGGTGGATTCCACCAAATACCCTGTTACACCAGAGTAACTAACCCTAGAATAATTTTACTTTTTGGGCTTATTCTCAGATAACTTCGTTTGCGTTTTTCCAACACAAACGTGGAGTAGCCAATATTGGGTATTGTTACAATAGAGTTTGTGAATCAATAACAACAGTAACATTTGATAATTATCTGTTGTCGTCGACTTTGGTTGTTAACATGTATGGGTAGAAAAAAACAGTGATAAGTATTATAGACAAGGAACTCAAAAATTCTGTTGAATTTTATTCTTTATCAAAACTCAGTAATATAAAGCCAAACATGTTGGTAATTATGATATTATGATTAGTAACAAATTTTTAAGTACCTATATTATCAAATGGTTTCTTTTAAATATTACCTGTAAATTCACCTACTTATGGAAAGTTATCCACCTTTCATTTTGGTAACGAGTTTTACAAATTACGCACACTCATTATTACTTACAAAATTCATATTATACTACTAAATCAAAAATATTCAAACAGCACAAAACACTTTTATATTTTCATTTAAAAGTTTACATACAGAGTACGATTTAAACAACACAACAAACTTTGGTATATTATGTCAATTTTAGTTCCCGGTACGGACATTGGCGGCGCTTCAAATCGGCACAAACACGACATTTTGTACGATATAGCAACATTTTGTACGATATAGCAAGTCCGGTGTACTTGTATATATATAAAGGTCAGAATAAGATTATCATTATCAATTAGCGGGAATCCACTGCTGGGCATATCCATCTCCTATAGCAATGTGGCATAGTCTAATTTTTCGCTTCAAATATAGATAAACACATACTAGCTATACTCAACCAAATCTAAGAAATACGTTTTGACGTTTCATATTAATCATTTCGCAATAACTTTGTCGTACAGTCAGTACAGTACAGTCGTACTCATACGGTTTAAACAACCTTTTACGTAAATCCAAAACATTATGAAGTTATCTATATTTAATTATAATGTGTAGAGTTCTTTATCACTAATTTAAAATACAAATCTTTAAAAAAACAAAGTATAAAAAAAATACATAATCAACTTTTATATTTCGATGATTCAAATTAACCTAATTGGAATAATCGGTAAAAATATTCAAGTAATCGAACCTTTACATGTTTAATGTATTATTCGCTTATTTGAATTTTTATTTTTAGTGTTGCATAAGTTATATGAATCACGAATTAAACAAGTCAATTTTTTTATATATTTTTTAATAGTGATTGAGAACCATTTGAAAAGGAATTGGCCTCCGATATAAAGTTAATATGACAAACACAAAATAATTGTTAAGAGACATGAATGCAAATAATAAAACCAAATATAAAACCAATTGGCACAACTTATATTCATTGATAAAACACAGCTAAAAGCCAACCACACTGTTCCGCAGACATGGATTTATAGGTTTGACATGTGAGATCCGACGGAGGAGGATTTGTGAGAAATACAACTACTACACCAGGGATGACTGAGCCTAAATGATGGAGAAAACAAAGAAAATTGTTATGGAGGACTATGAAAGAGACGACCATTATGAATGTATTTGTGGCTGCAAATTGAATGCGTTTGCCACTCGCTGGGCAGAAACTGCAGAATAACTTACCCAGTGGAAGACCTCCCCTTTCCTTCCACGCATTATAAAAAATCAAATAATAATTAATGTAAATAATGATGATGACGACGACGGCTCAACTAGTTGTAGTGAAAGTGACTAAATTTTGTTCTTAAACTAGTGCAGTCTTTATTTTAAATAAATTTATCTTCAGAAATTACCAGTTACCAATGAATATGAAAACACCGATAAATTTTGTGTTTTGAGTTATCTGTTTCTAATTTATTCTGGTGTGTATCTAGGTAAAACTGTAAATGATAACCAACTCTAAAGAATCGATATCTCTTAAGAATCGAATATTGTAGGTACCGATTTTGCAGTTGGAATGCTTAGTCCAATAAATGTGACAGCAGTCAAAAGGTATTTCTTAGATTCGTCGTTGGTGGAGTATAGATGGAGCGACGCTCTACGCAAAACGCACGGCACAACTAAATCAAAATAAAATTGACTTGATAGATGCGTATAATAGCGATAGATAAGACAGAAAAGAGTTAAATATAGTTTGTTATAAAAATCGTTAATTATATTTAATGTCGAATGCAATAAAATATATAATAAACTATAAACATACGTTAGGCACATACTCCACGCAGTGCATATCTGTGTTGGAGAGGATCATCCGAAGCCGTCGTTTCATACTGTTGAAAACCTCCGGGTCGTTAAGGTCTACCACACCTTCGCATCTAAAGAACAATAGTAATACGAATATAATGATAATACTAGAGAAATTTACTATGGCGATAAGCTATTCGTATTTCCCTCAATGGGTGTCGTTAAAAGAAGGAAAGCCACCTTTTTCACATTAATAATTACCTAGTTTAGTACTTAGTTTCAAATTAATAAAAATGCAAATGTGTTGCCATCTTTATCAAAATGAAAAACTTATAAGCATAACATTTGTGATTCTTTTTATGCATGCAGTATTAATAATTCGCTTTAATGTGGGGAGGGGGGGAGGTTATACACATTCACACGGATTTAAAAAAAAATAGAATAACCGAAGGAAATAGTCTTCAGGAGTGAACAATGACGACTCCGTAGCGCAGTGGCTCAGCAATGAGTTACTAAGGGCCGTTGGTTCGAATCCCGCATGGAACAAGTATTTGTATGAACTACAAGTAATTGTTCCGGGTCTGGATGTTTGTCCTTGTGAAATTTAAAAATTTATGTTTGTAAACACTCCACGATACAGGAGAAAGTCCTAGTGCGGGAGTAACGTTTTTCAAAAAGAAAAAAAGATGAAAGAATGTTACATTTAATTTTAAACGAGAAGATAGATGCAGGTGTCTATAAGAAAGCATCCAATTACCAACAGGTGGACTTGCATATTTATTTGTATGTTCGGTACAAATTTTGAACTTGATTTTAAACTAACTTCCCGACGAGCTAAACTTGAAACTCAGATGAAGCTTAGAACTGTATGGAAATGCAATAAAAGTCACTTTCATGTGTGTGTTTCTCTGTTCGGTCCTTTGAATTAAAGACTCATAAATTTGATACAGTGCAGAACTGGAAAGTATTTAAAAATGGTCGCCATTTTGAATTAAAACGAATTTAGAATATAGGGTATATTGACATATGATTATAGAAGGTTGCTTACTTATCCATGTCGGGGTCGTGTTGGTCGGAGAGGCGGCGGGCAGGCTTGCGCGCGCGCGGGTCGGGACCGGAGCCCTTGCGGCGGTACTTGGCCAGGATCTCGTCCGAGCAGTCCGCCATCTCCGCGCCCGCGCCTACGCCCGCACACACGCGTACCTCGCACTCCTCTTCACCCACTTTCATATCTGCACTCGGACTCCCAACCATTAATCATTGAAGAAAACACTTTTATGTGTACAACTAGACCAGCACGTGCCAGCTACCTGTTCAGACTCCGGCTGAACAGGTAGCTAGCACGGTAAATATGCCGTGCAATTGCTTTTTCATTTGCGACAATTACTGTTTTTAGACAAACACGAAAAGTGCTAAGTGCGCACATCCAAAAGGATAGCGTTTTCTTAGTCACATTAAACAAAATCAGTGTTAGATTGTCGGTAACGGACGGACTATCGTTCGCGGTTTACAAACCAAGGAACTACTCTTCTCGCTTGCTCGCAGTTGACTAAAACGTTTCAGAGAATTGACCGTAAGTTTAGAATGCAATGTATTAATACCGTAGTGCCCGTCTAGTATTTAACATAGATGTCTTTGCGTTGAATCATTGTGTACTATGTACTAGAAATGACGCTGTGACTTAGTCGTATGCAATACACTTTAAATAATTAATAGAATGAGGCGTTAGTTTGCGGAAATCCATTATATTAAAGTTGGTAAGAATTACTTAAAGTAAACTCAGCGGTCGCTAAGTAAACGCAATTAGCGGTCAGCCACCGCAGACCCTACGTCACCTAAGGATGCCTTGTGTAGAGGCGAAATACGTGTCGTATTATCGTCGATGGTGTGTCTTACCAAGTGTAGTGGTGTTGAGAGTAGTGGTGAGGGGATTAGTGCACGCAATTGAAGGAGGACGGGATATTGAGCGGATATGATCGTAGTAATTCTTACCAACTTTAATACACGTTAGAGCAAATTTACTAAGTCTGTTCCATAAAAAAGTACTCAGTCTCCTTTCACGCTTCCCGCATTACCACACTCATGACTGCTTCGTTGGTCTAGTGGCTGTAATAGTGCGACTGCTGATCATGAGGTTCCTGGTTCGAATCCCGGGTCGGGCCAATAAAATCAATTATTGAATATTTCCGTCAAGAAATTCTCAATAGCTGCCCGGAGTCAGGAAGTTGGCGGTGTCTTAATCCCGTGCCTCGGAAAGCACATAAAGCCTTTGGTCCTGCGCCTGATCTCTCTCTGGTGTAGGTTGACCGTCCCATCAGATTATGTGAGTGAGGGAATAGAAAGTGCACCTGTGCTTGCGCATACACTTGGGCACTATAATCCTGTTCTGCGGCGATGGCTAGCCTCCGTTGAGGCAGGCCGCCGTGGCCGAAATTCGGTCTGGAGGACATTATTATCAGTGGCGAAGCTAGAGCTCCAAGCTAGGGCAAGCCCAAGATATAAATTGATAAAAATATAGATTGTTGTTTTTAGCAGTTTTATAAAAATACACCAATCTTGATCTGTCTCCACGCTTCAGTTTCATATTCAGTGCTGTCAAGGACGTGTTTAACAAAGCACACAGAAGGCATACCACTGCTAAATAGATTGTATTACATATCAGCAATTGCATAGCTTCGGTGGCTTTGAAGAAAGCCGTTTGGGTTTGTTTAAGCGAAAGAAAAAAAATATTTACATCCAATACAAAAGTAAAACACGAAAAGTACAAAGTACAAACAAACTATGTACAAAATTAAAAAAAATTATTTACATTCTAATGGAAAGATTTAATTACGTCCACGTAAAATGTTGGTGAACGTTTTAATTGTACCAATAACTGTTTTAATTGCGATAATTGATAAGTCTGAAATACACTCTTAACCTTGTGTATTATCTCAACAAAGTTTAAAGATTTCCTCTCCGATTATCACTTTAACACACTTCAATTCATCACAAGGATCACTATTATCCTCCATTTTCATTAAAAATCTTTAAAAAAGCATAAATTTTGAACTCGTAATATTAAATCGCTTAAGATAAGCACACAGAGTAAATAAACATTGAAACGTGAAATGAACTTGCAAACGTATTGCCGGCGCGCCTCCGCTTTTAACAACTTTATTCCCAAAAGCCTGGCTTTAAATCTCTATACTAATTGCTATATATACAATCGTAGTTATATTTCATTATAGAATATTTTGCCATAGGTTAGAAAGAGAGCGATCGTCTTCTCGAAAACCCCGTAAAAAGCCCACGCGAGCGAGGGAGACTACTATTAACTCTATTAAAACTCATTTTTTATGACAGTAGCAGTATCGCTAAGGCAATACGCGGCCATCGGTCGACATGTGTCGAACAGTGGAGTGCGCGGGAAATTTGAAATAGCTTGAAATATTTTACGAGTTATTTTATTAGTTGATATTATTGATTGATATTATTGATTGATTCAGGTTTAATAAGGCAAGCCCGGCTTTTCGGCTTTAATGAAAGCTTCGCCACTGATTATTATTATTATTTTATATTACTCCAATGCAGTTAACAGGCATGTTTGAGCATTTTTTTAAGTTGCTGTTTTATATCCAACAGATAAAGTTTGTCGATATAAAATATCAACACAAAAAGTTAAATTTAAAAATACAACCAAAGAAAATGTGTAATATAATGGTACCTACGATCATCTTAATAATCGTACTATTATCTTTTAAGTCACAAATCAAAATGAAGTTTTGGCGTTCATTTTTTATCAGCTGATATTTTATATTATAGGTATTGTATCAGACACTAAGGATTACTTCGACAAAATATAGTTCGGATCATCTCTGATCGAGTATAGGTAGATTTTTCCGTTAAAATTGGGTTTTAAATAAAATAAAAGCTAAAAATAATTAACCGAGTTATTAGCAAATAAAACTATACCTTCTACACAATGCATCAACAAGTGTATACTATCATCACTTATCATTAGGTGGGACATTTAACTGCGATTCAGCAAAAAACCTTGATGTATACTAAGAAAATAAAGGCCCCAGGATACTGCCTTGCGGTACACTAAAACCATTGACTTATATATTACTAGCGTAAGGACCGGGTCGACCGAACAACTAAAACGGACCAGTGCGTTGGCCCCAAAATAACAGTTTAGGGCCAACGCGAATCGTCGACAGTGGTGTGTGCGCAGGACAGATTTGATTTTTTGACAGATTGCCTGTCAAAAATATATCTAGTTGCGTGGTAAACTGGTAAAGAACGCAAAATTACGATACAAAGGTTTAAAAGAAACATGGGGTATCGTATCATCGGTAAAATAACCTTATATTAATTTTCTTACAATTAAATTATTATATAAACGCATTTACAAAGTTTTATTATACAGTTAGTTTAGTTACGTTACCAAGATTAGGCCAGGGTTTGATTCAGATCCCCAAAAATATTGTACATAGCAAATAAAATTATACTATTTTAAAAAAAATTATATCACGTTTGACGTTTCATGTTTCTTTTTTCATCGATTAATCAGAAAGGGAGCTAACTCTAATTTTATTCAAAAAAACGCGGTACTCATGTACAATATAGAAATTCTCGATATTGTAGGGTTAATATTAAAATGTAAAAGGACCCAATAATAATACAAGTCGACCTTTAGGTAAAATTATAGTAATTATTACGCTTAGTATTATTAAGACACTATGTACTACAAATTATGAAATAATGATACAATTAGGATAATTATACTACGAAATCTGACCCTGGTTACGTGGTGTTTCGATATGACGTTTGTATTATGACAGATGCGCTACTTTTTCTTGTATGAAAAAGTTATGAGTAAAATATTTAGATGGGCCTATCCTTTCTTTTGAAATCATTGACTAAAACTGTTTCAATGTTATTCGAATAAAAATCAAACGTCTTCGAATAACTTACCGGCTTGTTGTTGATTCGACCGCCCCTTTTGGCGGAAGAATTTGATTTTGTGCAGCAAATTGCCTCCGGAACGTTTCATGTTGTTCTTCAGCTCGTCTAAGTTGCCGGCCAGCACATCCTCGCCTATTATACGCCTTCTATGACAAAAAAAGGAAAGTTTTGATACCAGCTTAGAGACGTGGTAGAGCCATACTGCAGCTATATTACGGTTGTAGCACGAATGGGTCGGCTCGACCACATTCCCACAGAATAGCAGCTTGATTCTTGAAGCTTGAGCTTGATTTCTAGCAGATTGATTGTGATTCGTATAGTGACTATATAGAACCAGAGACTCTTTTTACTGTATATGAGGCATTCCATCTTAATACTCAGGGTTTAAAACGCATCTGCGTTTTTATTCTTAATCAAGGATAAAATGTAGATGTCTGTGGGCCACAGCATCCACTTACCATCAGGTGGACTGTGTGCTTCATAGTTATTCTTTATTCATTAAAAAAGGACATATATTCAGTATTATATTTTACATGTTAAAAATACTTTACATGTTGGTGCAACCGTACAAACCACAATCAGCACTTAACCATGGCATAAATTTAACTATTTAAGGTTCTCAAGTTCAAGTTTTACCGCTGTGCGCCGCCTACGTGTAATTATAGCAACCATTAATTTATAATCATATTTATTAACATAGCAATTACTATTAATAATATAGTAATATTTTATTCAGCTATCTTTTGTATATCACCTACTAGTACGTATAGTCACTTCTATTTGTAATTTTAGTTAGTACAACAAACAATTACACAATAAGGCTTAAATCAAATAACAATTTTATAAATAACATTAGTAATTATGTAACCAACAGAACTACTGCACTCCCGAGGGCTAAGATGAACTGCCTCATAGTCCATAACTGGCGCTTATCTAGAACACAACACTGGGTGCACAGGTGTTCATCAGCGGGTATTGATAAGAATATGTTACCAACTTACTAACGCAAACGAGCAAAAGTGTGACTGTAATACTCTGTCACGCTGCTACAAAAACAAAACAATTTAATTAGTAACTGTCCGTATATAAATTGATGTAATCGAAATCGTAGAAATATTTCTGATACACTAATAACTGTATCTAGAGATTTCGTTTACACCGGAAATACCAAGATCGTAAAATCGTAAACATAAGTCTTACCCTTGAGACTTCTCAGCGGTGGCATCGAAGCTGATACTTTTGGGTATTGCACCGGTAGAGGCATTCTTGACAAGTGGTGGACTCACTCTCCTCTCAGTTACATTCTCTGAGTTCACATCCTGACTGGAACTCTTATCGGACACAGAAGTCTCAGCGCTGTTCACAGACAGAGTGCTAAGTGACATGTTACTAGCATCTCTCTTCTTCTCTATCCGGGAGGAGCTAATATTGACGATGCTTGTACGTATCTCCGATTTAACTATTCGAGACGTTAAATTATTCACTAGATTCGCCGAAGTAGATATCGTGGCAGAGCTCATTCGAGTCATCAGATCGGTTATAGCGGACCTGGATTCCGGTTCGGGTCGCCCGGTATCGATACCCGAATCGAATCGACGATCGTACTGCGATACGGAGAGCGCGTTGAACGAACTCTCACTAGAGTTCAGCGATCGGTCCATGATGTCTTGGTCGTCGTAAGGTTTCGAAGTGGAAGGGAGGTCGTAGGATTTGGAAGTCGAGGGGTGCTCGTATTTGCCAGTTGGGAAGGGGCGTGATGACGAATGCGGTTGGGGGAAACTATCGTCCACCCATTGGCTTGTTGCGTCTGACTGAACAGTAGCTTCCTCGAGGGTTGATTCAGTTTGTGTGTTGCTGCTGTAAAATAATAAAAAAACGTTCAAATTGTAATAAATTCACCGTATTAATACGTTTTAAAAAAGCTAAGTTTTTTAAAGACTAAATCGTACCCATTGTGTGAAACATAATCAAATAATACGTCGTTAGGAAGCTGCGCGGGCGTAGACGTGCTTGGACTTTCAGGAGCTGATGTGGCATAGCACGTCATGACCTGCAAACAAACCAAATAACACGATTTTAATAAGTGTTTAAATCCTCATTGCTATGTTATTCCAATAACTAAGTGATGTGTGATGTTTCATAGCAATCAAATAAAAAATGTTGATCACGACTCATTTACATTGTCTTCATCCATTACTGTTTTTAAAAGTCCAGAAACAGGAACAGAAACTTTTTGATTCAATACAGATTATAAATAATATTTATTGAAAGTCACTTTTTTTTAATTTACCAGTGATTCAGGAACCAATGTCCGGGGAAGAACCAGCCAGAAACCCAGCGGGACAATTTTTTTTAAATGGCAGCTTACAATCATGTATGTTACAATTAACAACACAAAACAAATTAGAAATAGCTTGGTAGCGATCACCCTTCCCAGGGGTTATTATCACCCATAATTTCCTTAATATTATAACAACCCACTCAACAAGTCCACTGTTGAACACAGATCTCTGCTATAGATTACCTCATAGAGAAGATTTAGCCATTGTTGCCTAGCTTGGCAGACGTTATCGCCTCTTTCGCCTCTTACAACACTCAAGAAACAATATGGTCAGCCAGTAATATTAAATTTTTTGTAAAATGAATTTCTTTTTAAATATATTTATTAAAAAATTGATTTGGGTTGAATCATCGATATAATATATACTAGGCACTAGATTTTTCATTCCGAACACTCACTATGTTCAACTGAACTGTACTGCAATCCGTACACCTGTTATTGTGGCTTCGATATTCATGCAGTGCGGAGCGGCGCTAACAATAATTTTATATTAAATTAGCATATATGCAAAATTAACGAAAATTAAAAAAAAATTACTCGATTAACAATACAATCTAAATAAACTATTATTTATTATGACAATTTTCACGCGTTTATATCAACAGGCGTGCGCGACTCGCTGTCTTCCGCGCATGCGCGGATACAGAGTAGTGCACATTTTTGTTTGGAATAGCTTCTCTAGTACGTATTACATATATACACAATGGGTTGAATTAATGGATTTACTAGGGTGCTGAATTAATCTAATGAAATTAACTATTATTATTAAAAAGGGGTGGGTGACCTCACAGAGATTTCTATGTATACTAGACAGGCTCTGCGGCGTCAATAAATTGCGCACTAAGTTACGCTCGATTCTCCGTAACGTTCGACTGCAAACGGGCGAGAAGATTAGTTCTCAGTTTTGTAAAATTGCTAACGTTGTTTTTGACTGTTAAATCTTGTTTAATGTGACTAAGAAAACGTTGTCATTATTGATGTGCGCACGTTGTCAACGTGATACGAAGTTTATTTCAGATAAGTATGTAACTTTATTTCTATTTATAAAACAGTTTTATACGTGGTAGAGCCACACTGCAGCTATATTATGGTTGTAGCACGAATGGGTCGGCTCGACCGGGGCAGGACCACGCACTCGCAGACTACCAGCGAAAATAGCAGCTTAATACTGCTGTGTTTAGTATGGTGAATGTAGAGAACCGGATACCCTTTTTACTGGAAATGAGGCATTCCATCTTAGTCCTCACGGGTGACAACGCATCTGCGTTTTGATTCTTAAATGAGGATAAATGTAGATGTATACGAGCCACAGCATCCACTTACCATCAGATGGACTGTGTGCTCGTTTGTCACCTTATTCTATAAAAAAAATTACTGTCAATAAATGAAAATACAACTGCGTGGCATATTTATCGTGCCAGCTAGCTGCCCAGCCAGCGCCCGTGCAATCTACAGCTGTGATACCGTTTTTGTTCTGAGTTACCCGGCTTAATAGTATACACAGAAGTCATTGTGACCTTAGGTAAATGATATACGACGTACCGGGTACCCGTTGACGAGTATGCTCTTGCGGTTCTCCACGAAGGCGGCGTGCGCGGTGGAAGTCAACGGCGCAAGGTCCAACTCACCGCCGCGGGACAAAGCCGCAGTCGCACTCAGGTACCTGTACAGTGTACACAAATGAAATAAAAACACAAAATTGTCTTATATCGTAGCTTCAAATAAAATTTCCATTATTCGTGAGCGTACAAAATATTTTTTTAGTAAAAATAAAGTGACAGACGTTCGCTACTGCTACCAATGGACACTTGCAACCAACTACAAAAAAAGAAGGCTACAGAGGTGAGATCCGAGGACTATGATGGAATACTACATAGTGGTTCTCTATACTCTTCAGAACTGAACACAGCAGTGCACGCACTGCTCATTGGCGGCAGGAATTAGGTAAGAGGAAAATTCTAATAGTCTAACAACGGTTCCACTTTTCGATACGGCACCGGTTCCAAAATACTGTTACGATATTGAGGTTCGAGACAATTAAAAACTGCGGAGTGAATTACCAAAATCAACTTAAAACTACACTAATAAGAAAACACAATTGTACTACTGATCAGTTTAGTTCGCAGTTGTATTGCCAATTCAATACTGACCCGGGTTCCGATCTATACCGGCCTTATATAGAGCCTCTTCTACTGAAACATCTAGAATGTTCGAGTACATAACGGTCCAGCCTGACTAGATGTAGAAAGTTCTGGCATGGAAATCTCTAGAAGGATAGAGGCGCTAGTAGTAACTAATGTCGCCATGTACCAGGCATTAATTATGGCGCTCAACACTGCCCACTCCTAGGACATGCTCGTCCCGAAATAAGTCTCAGGATCTCAGTCTCAGGCTCAGCCTCATAATAACGCACCAGTCGATCCACATGGACGATCTTAGGAGTACCTCTTGCACCTTTCTGTATCCGGTAGGTTACAAACTTCGAAGTATTCGCTTGAATCGCCAATTCATTTTTTTTTGTCAGGAATCCTTAGTTTTATCGGTTTTAAATCGATAAAGAAAGCAATCTCGGCTTAGAAATTTTACTTTATATTTATCTCATTACTTATTATCACAACATAGAGGACTAACTATCTTGCTGTAGCTCCATTTATTCAAACAAAGTCACAATTTGTTTCGCATGGGTACTGGTATAAAGATGACTAAAAAGTTCTGTTTCAATTCGGATTCTAGCATCTGAACAGCTTATTATCAGTTTCTTACTGTTAGTTTTGGAAAAAGTGACAAACAAACTTACAGTCCACCTGATGGTATGCGACTTTTGCAGTCCATGCACTTCTGCAGCCAACTTCAAACATAGGAGGCTATATATGTGTTGTCATGTTTGAGGACTTCAGAGATTGTAATTATACTGGCCCACTAAACTTAATTATAATTCTTTATCTTTAGTGTAAACATACGCATTGTTTATACCAAAGACTAATGTAATGATGGTTCTAAATAAATCTACACAAAAATAAAATTTTACCGGTTGTTGGGTAGATACCGCGATGTATGTCGAGGGCTGCTGATATCTGGTTTCTTGGTGCCATTCTGTGTACAAAGAGTACTGTTTATTTAGAATACTGTTTACTTTAAAAATTTTATGAAATCTTATTTGCATATAATATGGTGTGAAAACACAAATATAGCTCTATGACGTAGCTGCAAATAAAGCTATCATCTGTATGCAAAATAAACTATTTACTACCCGTGTTGTTAAAGAATGGGATATAAAATGGAGACACCTATATTCACCTCTCGCTCGCACACTTTCGCTATCTATACTCACAACCACCGGTAAAGACTGCAAAAAAATGCCTTGCGATATGCCTACGTACTTCATACTTTCGTAGGTTCTATAACTTCAGTCCAACTTGTTATTTGAATTGATAATAATAAAACGGCATAAACCACAAAAGAAAACAGTCCAGTTTTATTAATTTGTAAGCTAGGATGCGTTCTGAGTTTTCTTTATAATTTAATGAAAAATAAGTAACCATATTTTTTTTTAATTTTCGTTGGCCTGTTTGTCCGTCCTAATCTTCAGAATGGCGGAAACGATTGCAATAAAACTTCATGAACGAATAGTAAGGTAGTACCAGGAGTGATCTAGACTATATTTTACCCGAAAAATTTAAGGGATTTTATTAAAACAGAAATATTGATAAGATAAAATAAATGGTATGTAATGATTATCTTAAGTCTAGACAACGTTATAAATTTAATTCAAAATTAATGTACCTACTTGCGTGTACAGTTTTTTTTTTCAAATATTTTCTCATTGATTGATAATTACCAACTAACCGAATAATATAACGTTATAACGATATATCGTTATTAGCGGGTTTTCGCTATTGGTATGTATATGTTGACGGTACGAGTTCTGTGAGCCGCCATATCTAATACCACTGTTTATCCTTACGGGCTATATTTAGTATGTATTACGTGTATAATATGTACAATATGTTACTTAAATTAATCCCTCTCATTGTCACATGCACTATCACCACTCAATGGGAGAGGTGGTGGAGGCGGTGGAGGCAGTGCTCTTCAAACTAGGCAAAACTAATCTACAATGAATCGTTTTATGATATTAGTATAAGTTTACCTACTGTTAAGTGTCTACTGCAGCCCATGAATACTTGCAACCAACTTCAATCAGATATGGCCACAAATGCTTTGTAACCCCTGAGTACTAACATGACACGCCTCACACCCTGTTATTATTATTAATATGTAAAATTATATAATTTATGAGAGTGGACGTTTAGAAACAATATTTTTAAGAATATATTATATCAGTCACTGTTTAATTCATCCATCGTAGTTGGTATGTAGGTAGAATTTATTATTATAATTGAACTTTCTGAATCGGCAGTGGCTGGCGTGCGGTGACGGTGCGCACGGTGCGTTCACGCGTTCGTGTGTGCGTGCGTGCATGTGTACGTGTGTGTGTACGTACCTGAGTCGCGTGCTTGGCGGACAGCGGTTGCAGCGGCTGCAGTGGTTGCGGCTGCGACTGGTGCGCGGGCTGCAGGTCGTCGTGATGCGAAGCACAGGAGGGCCGCCGCGGCCACGACGTGTCCGAGCGCGCCGCCACCGACACGCAGTCGTCCGTGTCCACCTGCAAGCAACAGCACAACTCATACACTAAATACTCATACAATAAAAGTCCACTGCTAAACATAGGCCTTCCCCATAGATTGCATCACAGGGGTGTTATATAAAAAAAAAAGAAATATAGAAAAGTAAAAAGGAAAAAATTACTCTTCTTTTAAAAAGGAATTTTTTGTTTTTATAAAATGTGGATGTAATTTTTTTAAAGGATGGGGTTATTTTTTTATATATTAAGGAAGGAAAAAAAAAGTTCCTTCCCTAATAAATTCATTCATTCATTATAGCCCAATAAAAGTCCACTGCTAAACATAGGCCTTCCTATGTTTATCAGTGGCTGTGCCCCGCGGTTTATCACACGTCAGAGCCACGCGACATGACACCTCGCTTAAAGTTAAATTTACAGCCTTTATACGTCCCACTGCTGGGTACAAGCCTCTTCTCACTTCTGAGAGGGTTTTACAGCAAGAAAGTGCCTGCCACGCTGCCCCAATGCGTGTTGGCGGACTTCACATGTTTTCGAAATATTTTTTTTATTTCTCAAACATGCAGGTTTCCTCATGATGTTTTTCTTCACCGTCGAGCATATGGTAAATATAATGGCACATAGAAACCTCGCGTTTGCTAAAATGTTATGACACATCGCGAATTGGTGTTCACTGCTGGTTTCTCGAACGGACGGGTGGCGAAAATCGTCTCCGGGAGGAAAATCGGCGACGCGGTTCACCATCCGTCACGTTGTGTCTCCCGCAGGGGCGAAAAAAGGATTGCAGAAGCCCGTCTGACTACGCTGAATGTATGTGGAGCAATGAATGATGAGATGGATGAAGTTTGCGATATGATGCATGATAGAGGAATAGATGTGTTATGTGTAAATGAGACGAAGCGGAAGGGAAAGGATGTCACTACACATGGCATGTACACCACGTACTGGTCTGGTCTAGACGATACCGAGCGGGCATGCCAGGGAGTCGGTATCATTATTTCAGAAAGAAGGGGTCATTGCGTGAAAGAGTATGAATGTGTAAGCTCAAGACTGCTATGGATACGTATGAAAGTGGGCCTAAAGAAGTTGTTTGTTCTTGGGGTCTACGCCCCAGACATGTCTAAGCCCAGTTATATCTGAGAGCAGTTTTGGGAGATGGTAAGAATGGTGTTAATAAAATGTAAGGGAAATGAAAATATTGTTATGTTAGGAGATTTTAATGGCAGAGTTGGGGTGGAGGCTTGGTTATGAAAGGATATTGGGAACGTTTAGTGATGAAAGTGTAAATGAGAATGGTGAAAACCTCCTCACCGTACGTATGGAAAAGAATCTTTTTGTGACGAACACTTTCTTTCGACACAAGAGGATTCACATGTATACTTCGAAAAGAGGTGATGATAGAAGCATGATAGATTTCATAATTTGGATGAAAGAATGAGAATGTGAAGTACCTATTTGAAGCAACATAATTATGCTGATACATGCCTATTCACTCAAAACTAATAACACTGATGATTTGTAACAGTACCAATTATTACAATAATTAGACATTTCATAACCAACACGTAAGAAACTATAATTCATAAACAAGAGATAACAACAAATCTATAACACGATTTATTTTGTGATAATAACCAGGAAGTTTGAAAATAATATTTCCTAATTTCGAAGCACTCAACAAAAGCTTTTAGTAAAACAAAAATATAAATATACAATATATATACACATCTTCCTTCAACTCTATATGAATTGGGTTGCGTTCGGAACACAAGATCTAGAACACTAAAATGTACAAAAATATACTTATCTTTTTATTTCGATGTTATCTTTATATTCCTGGTAGAATTGGCCGACGAATAAGTAAAATATAACTCAGATTAGAATAAGCTATTTATTTATAAACAATAAAGCACGGAACAGAAAAAAGGATTTTATGTAACTGAATTATATTTGTTTCTGAACGCACCATAACCGTGAACTTGAGCTCTACAAAATATAACAAACTAATAATGTGTGTCTGTCTGAAACTGTTTGCAAAATGCGTAAAAAGCGTTTAATGTAACCCGGCAAAACTATATTTAGTAAATGTTTGCAAGTTTAATTTTGTGACTACTTTGGTAGTTTACCGATTTATAATAATTGTATTTATTGTTAACCAAAAACATATTCAAACACATTCATATATGAAACTCTGACACGTATGACGTAGGTAATCAGTGATGATATATCAGAAAAGTCACGGGCCAGCCTGCTGTTTGTAATACCACCGAAAACATAATTGTGTTTTTAGAATAATTAATTACTATACCTACGATAAGTAACTAAACTACTAACTAAAACTCTCTACTAACTACGATAAACTATACTAAAACCTACGATAAATTATACTAAATTATACTCAAATATATACTAGAGAAATATTGCAATTCGAATCAACGAAAACATACATACAAAATATGTATAATACACAAGAAATTCCGCGCGCAAATCATAGCGTGTGACAACCGAAATCATAATGTATTTTATAACAAGTCAAACAAGTGAACGAAGTTTGGCAACGCTTTTTTTCGTCAATTCAAGGTCAGGAAGGACGGCATCATCGCTCTACCTACGACTTTTGGTATTTATGTTGCCACACAACAATAATAAGTAATAAAAATGTTTACAAAAAAAAACATAGGTGTCTAAGGTCATTAGTTTTATGTTATTTTATACTGTTTTTTTTTTAACGGTTGGAAAATAAATTAACCAATTATTGAACTTAAGATATTGATTTATCAGAATTATTTAAGATCAATTGCATGCCATCTAGCGTGCCAATTTTTAAACGTCGCCTTTCGTTTGCTTGTCAAAAGTCACGCACACAACTAAAGAAGTGTCGAATTTTTCCGGGATTTCACTATTGTTTTTCTCAGTATATAATGTAAGTTATTGCCTATATAGGTCAAACGCGTACACATTTCATTGTAGAGAAGTGATAAAATGATTAGTTTTAAAGAAAGAGTGTCTGTGTTTAGTGTATATTTTGATTAAAAAATGTATGGACGGACGGCCGGCGCTTCCACCTTAAATGAAAGATTTAGAGACAGATGGATCGGCCGTGAAGGGCCCATTGCGTGGCCACTACAATCCCCCGACTTGAATCCAATTGATCTCTTCGTCTGGCGATATTATAAAGAATTTTTTAACGCCAAACAAATTAGTAACGTAGCTGAATTACGGTCAAATTTGAGACAAGCAGAAGAAACAATAAAAAACAACACAATAGCGTTCATACAACTAAAAAAAACTTTTTAAGTCGATGTAGGATTTATATCGAGCAAGAAGTTCGACATTTTAAAAATTTTTAGTAATAAAATAATAAATAATTAATAACAATAACTTTTTGTTTTATTTATTAAAGTTAATAAAACCTTTAAAGTTTAATTAAATCTATATCATCAAAAATATCTAAAACAAATATTTAACCTCCAAATTTTTAAATCATAGCTTTTCTACTGTCATTTTTGGTTAGTTTACAAACGTCATGAACAATAAACAAATGAAGCTTCGGTTGCACGTTGCCCCTCTCGCCAACGAGAGTGAGAGAGATAGCAATAGTCAGGTTTATTATCCTCTAGGCTCATTGTTGTTACAAGTAAGAGTTTTACGCACGTTTACAACCCATGATCACGAGCAAAATTAATTAAGCTTAAATTAAGCATTAAAAAAAAACTCCTAATTATAATAAATTTTAGCCTTTTTTGGTCATTTTTGGTTAGTTAACAAACTAATTAACCTTAGAAATGATAAAATGGCCAAAAAATTTATTCAGCTGGCTAATTTTAAGAATTTTTCACCCCGCTATCTTTGAAGGCCTATTTTAGCTAAAGTAGCTCATTAAGTACTACTTTTTTAATGATTATGAAAGTTGGGAGAGTCCGGAAAATATTTGAGACCTACTTAGGAACCGTCAAGTCACCGGTTTAGATTGTTAATTAAAAGATGAAAATTTAAGTCATAATTTACCGAACGTAATTTTATTACTTTACACCTACATTTTCATAATTTTCATCAAAGTATAGCTCATAAAGATTCAGATGCAAAAAAGAAATCTAGACAAAGCTTTCTACCTTTTTTTAACGAATTTTTTTAAGTTGTTCAGGTTGAAAATTCTCAACAGTTCAGAAAAAAAATCATAACCCGAAAACTATGAAAAATCGCGGAACATACATGGGGTGATTCCCCCTTGGGGGTACCCCAAGGGGTGCTTTATCTCTGGACTTCTACTTCACACAATTTTTTGGAACAACCTGTATATTAATAAAAAAATTCACGACTAATTTATGTATTTTTAAAAATCCAGTAATCCAAACGTTTTATGAAAGAAATCGCTTTCAGCGTTAATACGGGCAAAATTATTGTGCTTTCTTTACTTTTATATTTTTTATTCTTCTTTTATTGAATGTTTTTGTCAGTGAAGGTTTTTCAATGTATCAACGTAACGTTACCTCAGTGTTACGATCGCTGTCGGAAGCGAGCACGTCCATACTCCACGCCGACTCGCTCGCAGTCTCCGACACGTCTGGTGCGTTGGCGTTATTTGTGTTAACACCTGTTGTACAATAAAACGTTTTCATTACGATTGCGGCACTGAAAATTTCGAGAATCAAGGAAGTGACACAACATTACTATTTAAAAATGTATTTATTGCTCTTCGAAGTATTCTCCGCGAAATTTGACACATTTTTCCATACGATTGAACCAATAATTGAAGCAACCATTCCATTCGGAAGTTGGGGTCTCCAAAATGGCCGTTTTGTAGGCGTCCACAGCTTCTTCAGGTGATGACAATCTCTGTCCACGCAATTTATTCTTTATTTTAGGGAAAGTATAGAAATCATTAGGGTCGGGGCTGTACGGCGGATGGTCTAATAATTCTATGTTTTCTTGCTCTAAAAACTCTTTTGTTCTGTGTGCGGTGTGAGAACTCGCATTGTCGTGATGGAGGATGATGCGGCGGTTGCAGTTCTCTTTACGGAGTTCAGAAACGACCTGTGGCAAACAAATGCTAGCATACCATTCTGCATTAACCGTTCTTTGTCCCTCAAGAGGAACAGTCGTAACATGGCCGGTTTTGGAGACAAACGTGGCCACCATTTTTTTTGCAACACTCCGTGAACGAACAATTTTTGTTGGCTTTAACTCATTTTCGAACACCCAAACTCGTGACTGGTTTTTTGTTTCGGGTTCGTACGTCGTCGTATATCCAGGATTCGTCACCTGATACGATGTTGTATACAGCATTTGAGGATCCTGCGTGGAATCTTAATAAATCACAGAGAGAATCCATCGGGAAAACAAATTTTTTACACCTAATTGTTCATGCAAGATTATTTGTATTTGACTCATGCCAATGTCTAAAGTTGCCTGCTTTCGCGCTATGTCACATGTCAATCTTCCTCAATCAGCTTACGCACAGCATCAACGTTTTCCTGGGTGACTGCAGTTTTTGGACGACCTTGACGAGGTTCATCACTGAGCTTGACACGTCCACGTTGAAATTCAGCAAACCAGCGATAAATTGTAGTTTCGGATGGGGCTTCATCACCAAATGCAGAAATCATCCGGTGAACACACTGTTTTTGTGTTAAACCGCTTCGAAAGTCATAATAAATCATCGCTCTTGAATTTTCTCGAGTCGATTCCATTTTCTCAACGACTAAACAAGATTGACAAAACCTTGTGACAAGACCGAGAATCTTTTTTTAAATAAATAAATGGTATTCGATTTTTAAAACCAAGGAGTTTTCAATTAAAAAGATTTTAATATGACAGGAACAGTGGAAATATTCCATTCCCGATACTTTTACGGACTTCTGTATTGGAGACTGGACGCTAAAGCGTAATTATCTCATATTCACAAAACAGTGAATTAACATTAGATAAAAATAGATAGAGGACTTTTTTTATTAAACTGGCTTTACGGCTCTGGGTACTAGCCCTTCTGAGCCTATCATTTCTTTCAGAATCTTCATTTTACATATTTTTTCTTCACAATTTGCTGATGCGTAACAATGCGAAGCTCGTGGGAGATTTTGACGATAGCTCAACTTAGCGGACAGTTGATGACGACAGCCACTCAAGTTCATAAGAGACCCAAGCGATCAAATTAACTTGAGGTTTATATCGACATCAAAGCACTTGTTTCATCGTTTTCTCTAATAGTTCACACGCGCGGACACTTAATCCACAAAATCACATCACTTTTACGAATTAAAATCCACTTCAAACCATTATTCAAGCGACAAAACAGGAGCGACAATCCGTCTACGGCCAAGTTCCCGCCAAAACTCTCGTAGATAGAGGACGTTTTCACTTGTCATATTCAAATTAAGCGATAAAAATAAAAATAAAAACAAATGTCAATCGAGCACATTCTCAGATGATATGTTATGCTGCTACATACAATGTGGGAGATAAAACATCGGTGCATGAACGGGGATCGGACCTTGGTTTGCAGCGAGCTGCGTGTTGTCAGAGTCGCCGATGGTCTCCGAATCGGAAGCCAGCACGTCCGTGCTCCATGTATCTGACATTATGCTGATCGTCTCGTCACCCTCCAGCAACTTCTGCGAACAAACACCCGACTTCTGTGAAACTATAGTCTTTGTGTTGATGAAAAATGAGTATTGAGCGGTACGGAATTTGCTTCGAATCTTAAACGAATTAGTGTTTTAGTGACCTACAAATAGTTGTTCCGAGTCTGGAGTCTTGTACCTGTGCATGTGCAATTTGTGTATGTAAAACTGTTCTATGATACAGGAGATAATCCTGGGTATAACGAATATGAAAAAAATAAATAAAAAGAAAGCTAATAAATATTTCAATTGGGAATCTTCTCTTTTGAAGTCAGATTTGAAGATCCAAGAAAAACGACCGTTTCGCCCAGTGGTAAGTTACCTGGGCGTACACTACACATTCAATAAAACTACTGTTATGGTTTTCATCGCGTTCAAATTAAATTGATTTTAATTCTCGACGTTTCGGGTGCTTTCCAGCAACCATGGTCACGGGGTTTGAGGTGACTGACGTCCAGATGTCAGTGTTAACCCGGAGTACCTTCTGGTTTTTAAATATTAGCTACCTGATAGTGAGAGCGTGGTCCTTCCGCGGTCGAGCCGACACTTTAATGCTACACCATAACATAGCTGCAGCGTGGCTCTACCGCGTATAAACCACTACATCATCATTCACCATTCACCATTACATCAGATTTGATATACCACAAATTCTCGCGAAGGAACATCGATTCCTGCCAAGGATTATATGTGAGGCTATTAAAATTTAAAAAAAAACATCCTAATTTCAATTAAAAAGCAGGCTGGGTACTTGGGCACCTGATTGGGATTTATTATTTAAAGTCTTGCAGTTGTATGCTTGGGATTTAATTTTATTTATTATAGGATCCCAAGCAGATGGTAGTACCCAGCCATCTTCTCTATTGAAATTAGGATGTTTTTTGATTTCAATAGCCTCGCGAATCATTCTTGGAAGGAATCGGTGTTCTTTAGCGAGGATTTGTGGTCTATCAAATCTGATGTAGTGACAGGGACGATCCTGTGCGTGTTCACAGACTGCAGACTTCCCGGTGCGTCGATTCTTCACATCAGCTATATGTTCTTTAACGCGGGTTTTAATTGATCTTTTAGTTTGTCCTATGTAGGAGAGACCACATTCACAATCAAGCTTGTACACTCCTGCATCTTGCAGAGGGACATTACACTTGACTGATGGTAAAATCTGACCAATCTCAACCACAAATCCTCGCTAAAGGACACCGATTCCTTCCAAGGATGATTCGCGAGGCTATTGAAATCAAAAAACATCCTAATTTCAATAGAGAAGATGGCTGGGTGCTACCATCTGCTTGGGATCCTATAATAAATAAAATTAAATCCAAACCCAAAAGCATACAATTGCAAGACTTCAAGATACCATAAGTTCATACTGTGTAGATCGGAACAAAAGTTAAATTTTAATCTATGGTAACCGCGGATAATTATGACATCTGGACGTTGAACATCTCAGTCCCGCCCGTGACCATGAGTGCTGTAAAGCGTTCGAAACGTCAGGTATTTAAAAAGTTAAATATACGCGAAAAAAAAAAAAAAAAAAAAATAAATTCCGTAAAAACTAGTATTATTTCAATAAACCACTACTTACTTCAATCTCCCGCCATTTCAGGAGCTTACTGTGCGTAATTTTATGATTTTGTGTTTGTCTTCTTATTTTGTGACTCGGCTTTAACTTTTTGGACTGTTTCTTCTATATTCGTTGAAGCATGTGTCTATGTCACAAAGGATGATTGGGCAAAAGTGGTAGAAGAACAAATAAATTGATTGAAAATCAAATACATAATGATTAATCTAAACAGCGTCAGCTCAACTAGTTGTACGTAAAGTCATTGAATAAATTTATTTTTAATCTACTTTCAATCTTAAATTTTTATAACTATGCCTATAGAAATAAGCAGTAACAATAAATACGAAGAAACTAATAAATCTTGTGTTTTAAATTATCCGGTTTTAATTTATTCTAGTATTATTCAAACCAAACTGTAAATGATTACCAACCCTAAATAATCGAAATCGATTTTTTTAAGAATCGAATATTGTACGTTTCCATTTTTTGGTTGGTATGCTTGGTGCAATAAGTCTGACAGCTGTCAAAATGTATTTCTTAGATTTGGTTGAGTAAAGAATTTGTTAATGATATTGTTGAGTAACGGAAAAATAAATGATATGTTTACCTTGATTTCAAATTTGCAGAACTTGTCCTCTATATCATTTCGCGTCTGCTTCAACAACTTCGCCTGGTTACTGCTGGTCTGATTGGCGGGCGTATTTTGCGACATACTGTTAACAAAACAATTTACGTCGTTTTTTATCAAAATTTTAAAGTATATAAATTAAAAGAGCAAATAAATATGAAACTTAATTGAACTTTTTAATGATATCGGAATAACTTAATATGGTGTATGTTGTCATCTCATAATCACATCTGTCCATGTCTTTCTTAATTTATATTCATCTTATAATTTGGTTCTATGACATATATTTATAATAGTTTTTTTTAGATAATATATAGAATTTTGAAAATTACTCTATTAAAGTAAGACGGGAATATTGTGTGATGAATTTTTTTCTTAATTAAAAAAATTAACATTATTTGGTAAAAAATAAAGTTTATCAATTACAGAAAGAACTATATCATTTTTGCAATATAATTATTTTTTTTTAATTAAATTTATTTAACTTTTTTATTTGTATATATAAATGTTTTGACTTTTTATTACATTATACGTACAATACGATCAATATAAACGGGCGTACAATACGACAAATAATAAGAGCGTCAATGACCTACGCTAGACTGCTGTTAATTGAAAAGTACGGTTTGCAGGAAAAATTATTTTCTACTTTATTTTAAGTCTACGTTTAGATAGTTGACGGTTTTATCCTGAGTTTTATTATAAAATAAACAATTATTCAAACAATCAATTTAGTAAAAATATTTTACCTGCCTACGGAAATCCATGCTCTAACTTTATGGGGAAGAAGTAATGATAATGATGATGATGAATACTTCGAGAATAATGCAGAAAAGAGGTTCAAATGAATACTTCGCTGGAGATTATCTCATGGTTCCTTTGTAAATATATTTTCAAAAATATCTGTTTTGACCACCATATACGAATCGGTTTCTATCAATAGCTAAAAGTTTAAAATATGGTGAAGTCATTCTTATTCTTACATTTATTGCATTGTAGTCATGTGCACTATATATTTGAAATTATTTATACTTGAAGGGTCTTATATACATTTTGCATCTCATTATGCAAACCCTTGAAACTTGAAAAACCTAGCATTTGAAGCGCTTACCGTCTCGGAGGGACGTCTCCAGCCGCATCCCCGTCGGTGACCTGTGAGGAAGGGGTCTCGCGGCCCGAGATATTGGGGCTGCCGCGCCCGCTCACGTTTGCAGACACCTGCATATATCAGCTCCGCTAAATTATTAAGCTTTTAAGCCATTGCAAATGGACAGGACAGATTGCCAGGAGAAGGGATCACAGATCGGTTAAAACCGTGATGGCTTATATGTTCTAAATTATGTTATCAATTATATGATGTAAAAACAATGACATAAATTTTCGTTACCATGTCAGAAAGATTATCGTTTTGGTCTTCTGTCTCGAGCTCGAGACTGGAGGTGACGCTGTGGTTCGAAGCCGCTTCAGACACTGCTTCCAAGTTGTCAGACGTGTTGCCCAGAGACACCTCGTCGTGCGACACAGAGAATCTGGCAAAGTAAAATATTTATAACCCCGAATCTCTAACAATTGCATTAACTGTTAGTCTAATACTACTGTAAAAATTAAAAAAAAAGAATAAAATTATATTCATTCGCTTTAAACTGTTACTCTCTCTTTATTACTAGGAGTACACCTTTTTTTACTTTACGACTAACAAAGAAAAGAGATATTGTCTCAGATCGTTACAATATTTTTGAAGTGAAAACTTTATTAGAATCGGTGCGATTTAAAACTCGATGCAACGAAAAATCGACACTAAAAAGAGACAAACATATACATCTATAGGATTTAGCCTGCAAGAGAATGAGATAGAATCCAGTATTTCCTAATAATGCCCTTTAGACCAGAACACGGCAACACACGCATTGCTTTTTTTTGGATATACCTAGGTAAGAGGGCGGTACCTACCCAGTAGGGCTCCTAGACAACGAAGGAGTCCTAGACAATAAAGGTGTCTATTATAATACATGCATAACAGTAAAATATGACGAAATTTTGAATACTAACGAGAATCAGTAACTGTGCTGGGATGCAGGGTCAATCTCAATACGACACCCAAAATTCTTGTTTTTTTCTTAGATTATAGCTCTAGCTAGGATTTGAACCCAGGATCCGTGATGTAAAAGTCAAGTTTTTTGTTCAGTAGTCTATCAAACTAACTGCTACCCTAAAATAAATTTAACATTTGTGAATTTAAGCACTGTAAACTTTTGTGATAGAGTCCAGAAGGAAGTTCTTAGGATAAAGTAGTAAAATAAAAGAGTTCTGTAACAATATAATTGAACAGTACTGCAAAAGTACAGCTATGTAAGAGTGCAACATTAGTGTTGTAACAGCGTAAACGTGCGACTATATAGCAGGTAGTATATTGCTGCAATAAGCATACCTGAAGAGCTGCAACAGCTTAGAAGTGTAATGCTCCAGCACTGTATCAGTGGAGATGTACTTTTGTAGCAATGATGCAACAGCGCAACATTCCCATGTCACAACAGTAGCAACAAGTTGGTAGTCATAGCGAAGCACTAAAGTGCTGCTATCGTGCCACAGAGCCCTTATGTCCACTAAAGCAACGCAGTGTAATTGCAGTGCGGCAGTAGGGTATCAGTACTGCAACATTAGTGCAGCATTACTATTATTATTATTATTGCATATGTGGTAAAGCCACGCTGCAACTATATTATGGTTGTTGTCGAATGGGTCAGCCCGACCGGGTCAGGACCACGCTCTCACAGAATGCCAGAGTAAAATAGCAGCTTAATGCTGCTGTGTTTCGTATGGTAAGTTTAGAGAACCGTAGACCTTCTTTACTGGAAACGAGGCACTTATCTTATCTTATCTTTACCATATGGCAACTTCAGAAGTAATAACGCACCTGCATTTTGATTCTTAATCGAGGATAAATGTAGATATGTATGAGATCCACTTCCCCTCAGGTGGACTGTGCGCTTGTCCGTCGGCGTTATTGTATAAAGAAGCATGAGAGCGGTAGGGGGAGGGGGGCATACCTGGTGCGTTTCTGCACGGGCGCGGGCGTGGCGAGCGCGGCGGCCGCCTCCTCCGCGTCGCCAGCCTCCGAGCCCACGTAGAAGCTCTCCAGCACCTTCGATTCCGGCACCATCCCTGCACACACAATTCACTATGAAAATAGCTTTTTTTCAAACTTTTTTTTAAATGATCAAGACAATGACCATCCTGGCGGGGTTGCCATAAAATGTAGGAAGATGTTAAATGAAAAGGAGACGTGTTACTTTTGCTATGACTTTAATCATACTACTTTATTGTAAACTAAACACTAATATAAATTATCGCGATACACTACAAAACCATACCAATTCTGTATTTTTTCATTACTAAACTTTATTTTATTATTAGGAAGTCTTAAAAATAAGAAAATGGTATTTCATCATCAAACATTTTTAAAATCAATTGATGTTCATTTCACTCTCAAATGACGTCATAAAATAGGCTGCACGAAATGAAATCAATATCCAATGATCAAACAAAACCTAATTGATAATTAAGTTATGTACTAGCCAATTACCAAAAATTTTTCAATTTATATGATAATTTCATATCATTTATTTATTGCTAATTTTATTGATTTACAGTAACACTTGCGTTACCCACTGCATTGCGACTACAGATTGTTTTCGTCAAATTTGATTTTATATTAATAACCGACAGGTTTACACAAGAAATTAATTTCCAATTTGATCCGAACTCATTATGTTACAATTCAGTATTTTTTTAAAGTGTAAGTTTTTTTAATCGTATTTTTAAAACGATACGTCACGATACGTCAAGGCCCTCAAAATAGGCAGAAATTACCGCCTTCACTTCTTCGTCATCTGTATTTCTTTCCTCGAAGCTCTTTTAATATATTTATCTTTTAATATATCATTCCGTAGGTGTCGTAAGAGGCGACAGAGGGCAACAAATCAGGAGATGGGCAGCAACGTCTTCCTGATAACAACTTAAGAAAAAATTGGTTGCCAACCCGCTTGCCATGCTTGTATCTACTATGACAAATAGGGGTGGGGGGAGTCTATGAGGCTATTATCTATAAAATTAAGTAAAATAGCGCTTGAAAAGCAATTTTACTCGAAATAAAATTTTTTTTGATTTATTATTCTATAATTTTGGCTTTTCTTTATTGAATCACCGAGTAACAAATAAAAATCCTCTCTTCCCTCAAATCCCTCCATCCGCGAGCTTTTGAACGCTTTTTAGTTCACTTTCTCGCTGATGGCGAGTAACATAAAGAATTTCTTAATTAACTTTTAATAATTTGGAAAATAGTGCACCGTCGGTACAAATTTTGCTTGCTAATTGCGTAAGCTAGGCGGCATTGATTCTTTTACTAATTAGGCGCTTTGCTACTTCCTCTTGATTTTAAGATTTCGTGCTAAACAACACAAATTAAAATGTTTATTATAAATATTTGATACAATACTGACAAATTTTTTCGTTCCAAACAGTTGCAAAATAATCTCACAGCAAATAATCACACCAGGACTATGTATAAATTAAACATAAATACTAAAACTAGATCAACTTACCAACATAATCATTCTCCTCGACGTTGGCCAGCTTTATTACCAGCACCTCAAGATGCTCTAACTCTTCCTTTTCGGCGCCATTTACTGCCTTTTCATCTAGCGAGGAACTAGAGCTCGCACTCCGTGGTAGACGCGGCTTAGGTACCTTTGCTAGTATGCTGCGTTTGCTATGCCCGCCTTCTGATACTGTATCTTTTGATTCTGCAGTTGATCTATGGAAAAATATAATAAATTAAAAAAGTATCTGCGATAATAGATTTTTATAAGTAACTGCAAATCGTAAAGGTGGTTATATAAAATTTTATTGTTGTTATTTTATTTCTTTTCACTTCAACTTCGTTTACCACATTGAAAAAGCGCTTCTTCACGCGCTACTATTTTCAGACATGATGATTATTAATTTAAATTGTACTAAAAGCAATCTAGATAAAAGCGTGGTCTTTCGAGTCGGAAACAGCAAATATTATTAAACACTATCAGAAACTGCGCCCTGCCTTCAATTACCTATTGCATAGAAATTAATTTTGAGTGGTAAACCTACTCCTAGATAGATCATAATACCATTTCTCTGGTTGATTCGACATTGCAACACTATTACAAGTACTGGTTGGTTTCATAAAAAAGTCAACAACAAGAGACAAGTTCTACCCTTTTCGAAGAGCTCGGCTCTAACCTCGGACCCAATCTGTCGAGTGTAAGTTCAAGAAATTAATTGGTAAAAATGCTAAAGCACGAAAGTAATTGCGCAGGGATAACACAACCTCTAAGCTACCAAGCGGCCAGATTCGATATTCCGTCAAATACCAAGTGACCGAATTCGGCCGCACCCACCCACAGCACTTTAACCAATAAATACTTATAGTTAAAGACTACTTTTCTATGAAGAAGTTTGGCAATATGAAGTTTGCTATCCTCTAGTGCAATAAAAAATCAGTTACTCTATGGTTATTTATTTGTAATCTGCGTTCATTACGTACGCCATTTTCGTCTGGATGTTATTGTTTTGTTGTGTTGATTTTCGGATTTTTCTAGTATTTTATTAGTGTTTTAGTATAGTGTTTTATTATAAAATTAGTATGAAAGTTTTTGTGTGAATATAATTTATCTTTTTACGTAAATAATTTCGAGTAATATATATATTTAAATAATTGTGATTTTGACGCTTCCGACATTCGCTTGGTATGTACCCGTTTTTTGTTATCAAAATACAATAGTCTTTTTGTAATGAAGTAAAACCTGTCTTTGGTTTAGACCACAGGATAGAGAATTTTGTATAGATTTTATAATGCCAAACATCTTCATAGAAAAGTAGTCTCTAAATATAAGTTTTAATGGTTCAAAGTGCTGTGGGTGGGTATATGCCTACACGCAATACGCAACGCATGCGACTGCATGGGATTTTATGGGGATTGAAGGGTTAAAATAATTGGTAAAATGGTAATGATTAATAGTATCAGCACGCGGCGTGGTTTGTGACTGATCGTGAACTGTCTTATTAGCCATTACGATAACAATGCATTTAGCATTGGTCAGTTAGTTTGGGTCAGTGTGTGAAGTGAAGCTAACAGCGCGCTCATTGACGTAAATGTACAGTATTTCGTACACTACACGGTAGTTAGTGTGTGAGTGTGCGGCACATTACGTACTTGCAGGCGCGCAGCACGGGCAGGTCAGTCAAATTGCGCAGCAGGTCATTCAGGCGCGCGCGGTAGTTGGGCTCCACGGTATGCAGCCGTACTCGTAAGTGAATGAGTGTGTGAGTGTGCGGCACGTACTTGCAGGCGAGCAGAGCGAGTAAGTCAGGCAGTTTGCGAAGCAGGTCGTACAGGCGCGCTGCAGTTGGGCTCCCCGATATGCAGACACGCTCGAAAGTGAATGAGTGAGTGAGTGTGTGACTGTGCGGCTCGTACTTGCAGGCAAGTATCTTTCGCAGCAGGTCGTGCAGGCACGCGCGGTAGTTGGGTTTCACAGTCTGCAGCCGCACTCGTAAGTGAATGAGTGAGTGAGTGTAAGTGTGTGGCACGTACTTGCAGGCAGGTAGAGCTTTCGCAACAGATCGTGCGCGGCAGTTGGGCTCCATGGTGTGCAGCCGCGCTCGTAAGTGATTGAGAGAGTGAGTGTGAGTGTGTGGCACGTGATTGCAGGCGAGCAGCGCGGGCAAGTCGAACAGCTTGCGCAGCAGGTCGTGCAGGCGCGCGCGGTAGTTGGGCTCCACGGTCTGCAGCCGCGCTCGCAAGTGAATATGAGTGTGTGACACGTACTTGCAGGCAAGCCGCGGGCAGATAAGACAGCCTGCGCAGCAGGTCGTGCAGGCGCGCGTGGTAGTTGGGCTCCACGGTCTGCAGCCGCGCTCGCAAGTGAATATGTGAGTGTGTGACACGTACTTGTAGGCAAGCCGCTGGCAGATAAGACAACTTGCACAGCAGGTAGTGCAGGCGCGCGCGGTAGCTGGGCTCCACGGTCTGCAGCCGCGCTCGTAAGTGAATGAGTGAGTGAGTGTGAGTGTGTGGCGCGTACTTGCAGGCGAGCAACGCAGGCAGATCAGGCAGCTTGCGCAACAGGTCGTGTAGGCGCGCGCGGTAGCTGGGCTCCACGGTCTGCAGCCGCGCTCGTAAGTGAATGAGTGAGTGAGTGTGAGTGTGTGGCGCGTACTTGCAGGCGAGCAGCGCGGGCAGATCGGGCAGCTTGCGCAACAGGTCGTGTAGGCGCGCGCGGTAGTTGGGCTCCACGGTCTGCAGTCGCGCCGCTAACCGTGCCGCACCCTCACTGCATTCACCTTCTCCACCTTCGCCTCCCTCGCTACTGCCAATATACATTTTTACTTTCTTGCCAAAATGGAAAACTTTTGACTGGGGATCGGATTACTCTTAGCAGATTTCAAAATTAGCGAAATAAATAAATAAATTATATTTATTTCAGGCACATTACACCCATATTTAACTTATCAACAAAATAGACTACAGTACAGAATTACTAAAAAATAAAAATAATTATATTACAGTAATATTTAAATTTAAATGGAGGGAACTATCACGTCAAGCCTAAAGCTGTGGCTGGCAGTCTCAGCGCGAACTCACTAATTATCTTATTTCTACACCCACCAACCCTAGACATGAATGATGCGATTCTGAGTCTTTGAATGGCATTAAACGTATTAATTCGTGCTTCCCCAAACATGCCTGAAGCACGGCAATAGCGTTTGAGACCCATAAGCATTCTAAAGATGTTATTATATTGCACACTAATGCCATTCAAAGATCGCCCCGCATATTCAGTCCAGAGCTGTCAGGTGTAGATAGACTGACAATACGTTTAGAAGAGCATAATGTATTTAACTTAATATATCCGGTATGGTTAACCTGTTGATTTTGTTCATTTTTTAAAGAGTAGACACCAGTGGCCTCACGTATAATAGTAATAGGTAAAAAAACTAATAGTTATATACCTAAAGCCAGCTGCATCCACAACTAGTCCAGGGCCAATTGATTCTTCAGATGTGAGACTTGGAGTGTTGTTGTTTAACTTTGATGAGATTTTTTTCAGGAATGTTATCTGAAAGCAAGATTTAATATGTATTTAATTGTTTTTTTTTTTAAATTAGGTTACAATTAGATAAACCAAACAACGGCTACTTTGCGAGTGCGTACGTAAGAATGCGTGTGCTCGGTGCCATACGTAAGAGTGCGTGTGCGCGATGCTATACGTACGAGTGCGTGTGCGCGGTGCTATACTTACGAGTGCGTGTGCGCGGTGCAATATTTACGTACGAGTGCGTGTGCGAGGTGTTATACGTACGAGTGCGTGGGCGCGGCGTTATACGTACGAGTGCGTGTGCGCGGTGTTATACGTACGAGCGCGTGTGCGCGGTGTTATACGTACGAGTGCGAGTGCGCGGTGCTATACGTACGAGTGCATGTGCACGGTGCTATACGTACGAGTGCGTGTGCGTCTTGCGGCGTGAAGAGCGCGAGCGTGGCGCGCGGCGGCGCGTCGGTGCGCGGCGCAGCTTCAGTGTGCGGCGGCGCGGCTGCGGGCGCGCACGCGTCCGAGCGCACGCTCTCCACCAGCGACCACACGCACGCCCGCTCGAACTTACTATACAGATCGCGCACTTTCGGATCCACCTGCGAACATACCACACGTTTTTACTATAGTAAAACGACTGTTATAGGATACTCCTACCATACCATGTTATCTAGCATTGAAAAGCATAATAAAATAAAATACGATATAAAATATTATGATCTCGTGTTAAACATCTGGAACATATGTATTAGTTATAAAAAATACTTAGCAACCGTTAAAAGTTCAATAGAAAAAAAATATTTCTGATTATAATATGTAAAATGTAAATGAAAACTATAATATGTAAAATGTAAAGGGCACAAGAGAAAGCTGTGAGCTGAAGGTGGGGAAATTTGGAGTGGGGCAACGGAACCGAAGGGACCAGCAGCTGGCCGACTTTATGGAGAAAGAGGGACTCTTTATGATGAACTCTTTCTTCCAGAAGCGGCCCCACAGGAAGTGGACCTGGTCGAGCCCCGACGGTTCGACAAAAAATGAGATTGACTTCATTATGACGACCAGACGCCAACTGTTCAGTGATGTCTCAGTGATCGCAAGGGTGAAAACTGGCAGCGATCACCGAATGATTAGAGGCACACTGAACCTAAACGTTAAGTTGGAGAGGTCTCGTCTAATGAAGTCAACGCTCCGTCCCCCTCGTGCTCTAATCCAGAATCCCGAAACCTTTCAGCTCGAGTTACAAAACCGCTTTCAGTGCCTAGAGGATTGCAATGCAGTGGACGATATGAATGACAAGCTCGTGGAAACTGTCCATGCGGTCGGAGCTAAGTTCTGCAAGATCCGCCGCAGAAGAACACAAAAACTCTCCGATCACATTCTTAATCTCATGGCTGTTAGACGGGAGATGAGGCTGCAATCGTCAATAGATTTGACAGCATACAGGCAGCTGAACAGACAGATCTCCAAATGCATGCGGCGAGACTTACGCAACTTTAATACTGCTCGTATTAAAGAAGCGATCGAGCGGAACCAGGGCTCCAAAGTCTTTGCCAGAGATCTGTCTGCCAGAAGGAGCCAACTGTCAAGGCTGAAGACTGAGTGTGGCAACATCATTTCCGGGACACCTGAGATTCTGAGTGAGATTGAGAGGTTCTATGGGCAGCTGTACACATCATCGTTGGAGCCACACGCAAGTGTCAGTAACGATCCAAGAGCAAGTCTTATCCGACACTATTCCGATGACATCCCGGACGTCAGTCTGAGCGAGATTAGAATGGCTCTCCACCACCTTAAAAACGGCAAGGCCCCGGGCGAGGATGGAATTACAGCGGAGCTTCTGAAAGCGGGTGGAACACCGGTACTTGACGTCCTTCAGAAGCTCTTCAATTCCGGCCTCCATGGTGGCATTACTCCGGAGGCGTGGAGCAGAAGTGCGGTGGTCTTGTTCTTTAAGAAAGGCGACAACGCTCTCTTGAAAAACTACGGACCGATTTCCCTTCTGAGCCGCGTCTACGTGCTGGTTTCGAGAGTTATTACGAATCGTCTCGCACGCAGACTCGACGACTTCCAGCCTCCCGAACAAGCCGGTTTCCGAAAAGGCTTCAGTACCATAGACCACACACATACCCTTCGGCAAATTGTACAGAAGTCCGAAGAGTACAATCTGCCACTTTGCCTGGCGTATGTGGACTATGAGAAAGCCTTTGATTCCGTCGAAATTTGGGCGGTGCTACAGTCTCTTCAGCGGTGCCTAGTTGACTGTCGGTATATTGAAGTGCTGAAGTGTTTGTACAGTAGGGCTACGATGGCTATCCGAGTACAGAACCAGAGTACGAAACCTATCCAACTGCAGAAAAGTGTAAGACAGGGTGATGTTATATCCCCGAAACTCTTCACCGCTGCGTTGGAAGACGTTTTCAAGCTACTGGACTGGAAAGGATACGGTATTAACATCAATGGCGAGTACATCACTCACCTTCGATTTGCCGACGATATAGTCCTTATGGCAGAATCGCTGGAGGACCTTAGCACTATGCTCAATGACCTCAATGGTGTCTCCCAACGGATAGGTCTTAAGATGAACATGGACAAAACAAAGATCATGTTTAATGTCCATGCCGGTAATTGTTGGGAGCACTATGCTCGAAGTTGTTGACGAGTACGTTTACCTGGGACAAATAGTCCGACTAGGTAAGTCCACCTTCGACCGAGAGGTCAATCGACGGATTCAACTCGGCTGGGCAGCGTTCGGGAAATTACGACACATCTCATCAGGTATACCTCAATCTCTGAAAACTAAAGTGTACAACCAGTGCGTGTTGCCAGTGATGACTTACGGATCTGAGACGTGGTCCTTCACCGTATGAGGACGCTCAAGGTCGCTCAGCGAGCTATGGAGAGGGCTATGCTCGGAGTTTCACTGCGTGATAGACTCAGAAATGAGGATATCCGCAGTGAAACCAGAGTGACCGACATAGCCCAACGGATTAGTAAGCTGAAGTGGCAATGGGCCGGCCATATAGCTCGAAGAACCGATAACCGATGGGGAAGAAAGGTTCTCGAGTGGCAGCCTCGTACCGGTAGGCGTAGTGTAGGGCGACCCCCCACTAGATGGAGTGACGACCTGGTAAGACATGCAGGAAGTCGATGGATGCAGGTGGCTCAGGATCGTGCTTTATGGCATTACTTGGGGGAGGCCTATGTTCAGCAGTGGACTTGTGAAGGGCTGTAATGATGATGATGATGATGATGAAATGAAAACTCAGTATTTCAAATAGTCTTAATTTAGGAAGTGTAACTTTACTTTGTAAAAGTCTGTTAGTGATGCGTTTGCAAATAATTTTAGGTCAAATTTCCTACACACAGGCGCATACATATATCAACCCCTGTGCACAAGAAAGGACTTAGGACTCATGTCACTAACTATAGGCCAATTTGTGCATAATTTCCAAAGTTTTGATAAATTTGTGTACGAACCTGGTTACTCAAACAAAGCACTCAACGTCTCAAGTCTCAACATGGGTTTTTAAGGTTATTTATTTATTTGCTTTTTAAGGGAAACATACAGTACAATAAAATACATTATAAAACATATAAAAGCAATCCTAAAACCAATGAAGTTGCCACAGATATCTAATACATATTAAAAGCTTGCAACCACAATATGTTTAAAGATTTAATTTAAAAAAATAACTAAATGGTATTTACAATTAAACATTAAGTACTAATTAGTTAGATCTACCGTTACCAACTTGGTACTATTTAATTTATTATTGACTAAAGCCATGGATGACTGCCATCAAGTTGATGTTGTATATACAATATATAGTAAGGCTTCCGACCGGATTGAACACAATCTGCTTTAAAAAAGCTTTAGTATGTTGTTTTCTGTGGAGATTTACTGCGTTCTGCAACTGTTACCGGAGAATGTTTTAGAAGTAAATGTTTTATTAAATTCATAAATTCAGTCAGTCAGTCACGCAGTTTATACGTGGTAGAGCCATGCTGCAGTTATATAAGTAGTATAGTCGTAGCACGAATGGGTCGGTTCGACCGGGGAAGGACCATGCTCTCACAGAATACCAGCGTGAAATAGTAGTTTAATGCTGCTGTGTTTCGGATGATGAGTATAGAGAACCGGAGATCCTTTTTGCTGGAAACGAGGCATTCCATCTTAGTGTCACGGGTGACAACGCATCTGCATTTTGAATCACATACGAGGATAGATGTAGATCTCTATGGGCCACAGCAACCACATACCATCAGGTGGACTGTGTGCTCGTTTGTTACACTTTCCTATATAAATAAAATAAAAAGTCAACTTGGCACCACTGAAGGGATTTCAATTCCAACGTAGAGGTATAATTTGTTGTCAAATTAATTTTTTAAAACTCAATGCACACGCAGTCACCCTATTCTATAAAAAAAAAAACACACGCAGAAACTTACATTCTATTGATGTGGAACAATTTGAATTGGATCTTAAGTCGATGAACTGGGAAACCATCAACACCCTGAATGACGTAATGATATGGTATCTCTTTTTAGCACAATGATGTTAACCTTATTCGATATTCATGTGCCTCTCCGCACAAAAACAGTAAGGCATTTCTAATATCCATGGATCACTTATAATACAAAAAAAATGATGAAACTCCGGGATGAGCTGGATTAGATTATGTACTCGTAAGAACTATCATCATAAGGAACTAAAAGAATACTGTACTGACGAAATTTGGAAAGAAAAACATGCCTACATCAACAAAAATAAAAGCCATATATATGGTTACATATAAAAATGTTGTTTATGATATACATATACTCATACGCCAGTATATTCAAAATTTATGAAGAAAACATATTTTTGAATTTTAAAAAAGATTTAGTTCTTTTTTTAAGAAATGACGTTGACGTTGTTATGTCAATTTTTATTATAAAAGGCACTGAAAATATAGTTAAAATATATCGTCGCGGTACATGCAATAGTTCGAATGTGAGCTAGGTACGACTTTACAGGAAGGACTAAAAACTGTTTTTTTATTTTTATGTTAGTTAAATATGATTTGTGATAATGTATTTAGTACTAAAATTGGATGTTACATTATAAAATATTACAATGGTGGTTATTGATTTAACAGTTTTTGTGAAAAGTTGACATAGGGCATATTGCGTCTGTATTTTGTACCCATTTTGATCACATAGGTAGAATTGATTTCAGTATAGAAACAAGAAAAAAACATGTAGGTATTAAAGTTTTTATTTATTAGATAAGATCATATTTATTTGTGAACTAAATTCTCATAGAATTGACGATAATCTTGTGGAATCAATTCTTTTAGTTCTTGCAAGTGGGTGTATTTTGAAGCTTCAATTGGAATTGGCCCTGTGTACAGTTTGGGATGGTCTGGCAATGATTCTAAACGTTTCGGTCGTACAGGCAATTCAGCCCATTCGTCTTGAAAGCGCAGTTTGTAATGAATAATTCCATTAGGTGTATACTGAAACGCAACCACATCGTTAACACAGGGATCGCCAATTTTGTTGCCAGGGCGGATACTTTTGTAGTATACTGCCTGAAAAGCCTAAAAATCATCACTACTACAGTAAATTGTCTCATAGGGACGCGGACGTTGTCTTGCAGATTGAATTATAGGAATGTAGTCTGCAGGTGTATAGACTTCTCTCCGATTGCGCAATTTCTGCTCAATAGTAGAATGAATGGAGTCCACTTCCATGAAGGTGTGTCCAACTTCCAAATATTTTTGTTCTATTATTACTTTTGTTTTAATGCTCAATTCAAGTAGTGCATTAGATAGTTTGATATTTCGGTTCTGATATCCACACCCATCACTCCAAATAGTAATTTTTTCGAGACGTTTTTTTCTATTGCCTTTTTTAAAAAGTCTGTATAAATGGATGCAAATACATCACTTTCAATCCCTGCCACTGCTTCGTGCCAAACATAGCATACGGCATCTTTAGTACTTAAGTCGAAGAAGGTCTCATTGTGGACCTTCAACTTAGTCTTATAGTAATTTGCACTTGCATTTAGTCTTAGAGCCAATAGCACCGCCTGTAGATCTACGGTATAGGTTGCAGTATTAGGACAATTAATGCATCGTTCTTTGTCTTTCGTTTTTTCTTCTCTTGCTGATAGTTTCTTTTGCTTATGTTTCTGGAATGTTTCTTCATCGCATGTTCCTGTCTTATACAGTGTGCATGTATTACATTGATCCTTTTTGGGAATATAAAGGTCTAAGTTCATAAATTTCAAAGTATTGTAGAAGGTTTTCCAGGATGATGCAAGTTTGTTTTGTATTTGGCACTCATCTTTATAAAAGCGGTACATCTCTCTTAGACTAGACCACAAAGACTCAACGTAGTGTTTATTGGATGATGCTCGACAATAATGGCTTTCTAATTTAGGCAGTGAATTCAGAAACTCCTCTAAATTCTTAACCATGTTTGATTTTTGTCGTCGGACCGGCGCTTGATGATCTTCATTTTCAAGGCTTGTACTGGGTTGGTCTGATAATGTCCATGAGCGTACCGTCTTCTCACCAATACTTAAAGTGTTTATAAACATATTTCGGCATACACGTTTCTTCACATCGTCTCCATTTTCCTTCATACTTAAGTAGAATATAAAGCCAGTCTTTTTTCTTGAAGTGGTAATATCAGTAGTCTTTCGTCTATACTTTGGACGTGCCCGCAATACACACCCAGTGACGTAAACTTTTTTAGCCTCCCAAGATGACAGATTCCAAAAGTGTGAATGTATTGACTTTCGATCATCCTCACTAATCGTATCACATTTGAAATCTTGTTTTGGGCCTCCTTTAACTGTTGTCGGCTGTGGATGCCCATTACATCTTGGACCTAAGCATTTAGCTTCTTTTATTTTATTTTGCTTGTATTTACCACTTTTCTGTTTTCCAAACCCAACATAAGACTTTCCCTCTAATCTTAACTTAGCATTTTTAAATCTCTTCCACGCATTCGTGTTAACTTGACCTTTACGTTTTCTTGGTTTTGGTTGTTCTTGATCTGGAATATTTTTGTCTGTGTCCGATATCGATTGCGACTGTTGTTGTGACGTTACATTAGCCACCAGGCCATCTTGAATTGATATTTCAATGACTGATCCAACACAATCATCTGCTTGTACCTCTCTGTCATTCTCACTTTCAGGTGGGGCATATAATTCATCCGATCCTGAACTAAAATCAGTGTCTAATTGATTTTTCATGTTTTTATCGTGCCTTTCAGTTTCTACAGGATGGGTCTGTGTTGTATATTCCATTACAAACTCACCGGAGGGCGTAATAACCCCAATCTCGGGCGTTCGTTTGGCTTCGGAGGGATGTGTAAACCATTCTTGTTCTCTAATAATATGCTGTTCTACGATGAATTCTGCTGACGGTGATTGTACCTGAGCACCAGCTGTCACTTCAACATTTTTTTCGTAGAGTCTTCCTGACTTAGGCTGTGCCAACTAACTGAGCTGGCTTGTTCTTCGCTGAATACACCAGTGCTAGTACTAATAGCTAGCTTCACCAAGCGACGGCTTCTAGCTCCTGACATAATAGGTTTGTTCTGTTATTAATCCTGCAACAAATAACATACAAATTTGTCAAAAATGCAGTAGTTCCTATGTCAATACATATTACCAATATACGATTATTGCAAAATCTCCTTTGTCACCCAAAATATACAAATGTTTAAATATATCATACAAAAAAGGTTAATCATAACATAAATCATATAAACCTAGTTATTTTTTTGAAAATAATTTGGAATCACAATCAATCAAGTATTATAAGCTCAAAAAAAGTGAGGTTAGTATTAAGTTTAAAATTTACTCCTTTGTTATGATTAAAAATAACACATATTATTACTGTCTGTTGGTTAAATTATATTGAAAAAAAGAATGGATTACTTACACAACAAATTTATGAAGTTTAAATTCGTAAATTCACCTCTTGAACAACAAACTATGTCTCGCATCAGCGGAATGCAATGACATAGGACAATTTGCAGGAACCAAAATAAAGACGTCTTTCATTGGTCATATTGCAAATAATTCAAACGCTTGCTTCTGATTGGTCGGTAGACATAGGAGTTTCTACAAACGTTGTGGAAGCATGTTTTGGATGCTAACATGCCATAAAAGAAAAATTGAATTTTTTTCACATTCGACCTATTGCATGTACCACGACGATATAGACCAAATTAGATCATACACTGTTGCGGATCGTTTTATTTACCAACAACCCTTCTAGTGTATCAGCAGGACAACAGGTCAACTACATAGGTCAACTAGTTAAGCTAGTAAACAAATGTAAGATTAGAAAGTAATCCAGAACTACCGCATCATATATTTAACGATCCCAATTTAATCCATACCAGATTTTTAAATGTTCCCAGACATGATCAAATGCTTACTTCTAACACGTCTTTCTTTGAATCTCATGTAAAAGTTCCAAGTAAATTTAAGTTAAAGACAGTACAGAAAATTGACGTTTTAAAAATAGGGCGGTCACAATCAAATCAAATGCGGTAGGTAAAGATGGCTGAAAAGGACGGTCTCGTTCTTCTTCTCACGCGCTTAACAATGATCAACCAGTTACTGGCCCCTTTCCTGTACCACACCTCGTTGGGTTCGGGAATCAACGCGGTAGGCGTGACCGTGATAAGACGATCGACTTAGAACCTTAACTGCTCTCTCAAAAGAAAGTGGTTGACCGCTATTACATGAATTGTTATTAAATGCATTTAAAACTTTTAATAAAGGTATTAAGTAATCTTAATTATAATACCTCAAAAGTTTTGAGGAAATAATAATGTAATATATTAATTTCTATAAGGAAAGAATATCTTGTACTGCACGTTTACTATGCAGTAACGAAACTCCAAATCTAAAACTCTTACAGTATTAAGCTTGAGTTGGCATTTATTTATTTTTAATTATAGGATCCCAAGCATATGGTAGAACTCATCCATCTTCCTATCAAAATTAGAAATTAGATTATAATTTATAATTTCAATAGCCTCGCGAATCAAGTAGGAATCGTTGTTCTTTTGCGAGGATTTGTATTCTATGAAACCTGATGTAATGACGGGGAAGTTATTCACAGATTGCAGTCTTCCCGGAGCGTCGATGCAGTCGCATAAACACATGATCAGTATCTGCGCTTATAATCACTAGACCAGCAAAACATTGAAATATATTGTATTATACCCACCTCCTGGTAGCAGGCCAAGCAGAGCATCTGCAGGATTTGCGCAATCTGTACGAGGTTGAAGCGCGCCACGTAGGAAACAGGCACGTCCACGACTCCGTGCGCCTCCGGGCTCACTATGGCCGGGCAGATGAATTGGCTTAACACCAGGTCCGTGCAGATCGCATGCAGTTCGCGCTCGCTGATCCTGCGACAGAATGCATAATATTTGACGTGATTTGATTTAATAACAAAAACCCCCATACTGGGATTTTCTCCTGTGTCGTGCAGACAGTTTACACACATAAATTGCACAAGAACAAACATCCAGACCATTTTTAGGCCATACAAATACCTACGCCGTGCGGAATGTCGAAATCTTCCTTTCAGCTAGTAGTAAAGTAGTGATTTTTAAGCTACTGCATAGCTTTTATCGCGGGCTTTGAGCGCGGCGACCGAAACAAAAAATTCCATAACGAAAATAAACCTAACACCCCCCACTCCGACGTGCACACTGCATAGCGGTGCGGCGTTGAAAGCCGTGCATCGTCTAACGTCGTTTCAGTTCGGCAGACTTCGGCACGGTGTTTGTGTGCGTGCGACTAGCTGCTAACTGCTCGTAACTGATTCTATCTCTTTTAGACACAATGCTAGGTGAGACAGCGTGCTTTTTGGCCGCGTCCACGAGTGAATTCGAGCACGCGACTAGTTGAATCTTAACGTGTATGTATATGGTACGACTGTACGAAGCTCGCACGGATCGAGACGAGCTGCTCCGAAATCGGACGAATACGTAAGCAGCTGTTTGTGAGAAAGTATATAGGTATATATGTATCTATCATCTATGTACAAATAAAATAAATAAATAATTATAATTGTGTAAGTTGATAAAAAATGCTTCGCAATAGCTTTACCGCGGCAGTCCCCGAGTGCCACAGGTATTTTTTTTTTTTTTTTTAAGCGAACACCACACATTTGATGAAACAAGTTTTTACGGATTTTGTCGCGTGTATTAACTTAATTTTATACTGCCGACGTTTAGAGTACTTTACAGCAATTTTAAACTGAGAGTAGCCTTGGTTAACTATAACATTGGGTCGTCTAACAACTCAGTCCCCCCCTTACCCATGGATGTTGTAAAGTACTCGAACGTCGTGAATATAAAGTAAGTAAACACGATAAAATCCGTAAATACTAGATTCCTTTAGCTAAACTATAACTATATAAAAATATGTTATAATATAAATAAAAAATATAAAACTATATAAAAATATGTTAATACTCTACGGCCGCTGAGAGAATATGATGATGACAGTTCGTGAAGGCGATATAACTTTGAAGTGGCGAACAATTTGCAGAGCAATGGGATGTGTATAGGATGAACGTAAATTTTTATATATTTTCTTCTACCGAACCCCTAAATAATACAAAACAACTGAATATCACATATAGAAATGAACTTTACCTCGAATGCTGCTTCAACAAATGTACAATCTGCTGTACAATCCAAGCGATGGTCGCGGGAAAGTTAGGCCAATGTTCCTTCAACGACACGATGAACTTACTGGTAAGGTTGTACAGCGACTGTACAGTCCACTTGCGGTATCGAGCGACTTTCGTCGAGTACTCACTGCTGTTCGCTTGACCGAATTTCTTTATACGATCTGACGCAGAAAATCTGTAAGTTAATAATTATGAAATAAAGTTAATAATAGTGAGGGGTTAACGTATTTTTAGAAGAAACAACAAGATTTTAGGCTTTTCTCCTGTATCACAGAGGAAGTTTACATAGCGACTGTAAGCCGTCACTTTGCCTTAACTTTTTATAGTAAGAGGGAATAGTAGGTATTTAAAGGAAATTACGAAGTAAGGTGGGTGTACCATGGAAGGCCACTCTAACAAATAAACAGTTATAATTCGTTTATTTACTGGATAAATGAAACTAACAAATATTTAAGTAATACTTTGTTTTATTACATAACATATAAACCACTTTTTTCATATAAATCACTTAAGTTTCATTGAACTCTTCCAAATGGCCTTGCTAGGAGCAAGGTTCCTTAGAAGGCCATTATAATAAATCAGTCATTTAACACGAAAGTTTAATAAATAGCGATTAAATCTACAATAAAAAGAAGTGGTTTATATGTTACGTAATAAAAGAAAGTATTATTTAAATATTTGTTAGTTTCATTTATCAAGCAGTAAATAAACGAATAATAACTGTTTATTTGTAGAGTGACCTTCCATGGTACACCCACTTTAACTTAATGTCGTCGATTCCCGAAATCAAGGAAGCGGGGGACCGTACTGCCAAAATAGTAGCGCGAGCGATTCGCCGCCGCGTCTGTGATTTTCAATTCGATGGGTGTCATTAAATGGCAATAACTACGAAATATTAATAATTGGCCTTCGAAGGAGCATGGCCTTCCATGGTCCACCCACCTTATATTTATTATAAATTTACTCAAAAACTGTTAACAAAGATTAATTTTTCTCACCTTTCCATGGCCTTGTCGGGATCGATGTCCAGGAAGAACTCGTCCTCATGGAGAACAGCCATGATAGGTGCGTGTAGGGCTGCGACGAGGAAGCGCCGCGCCGGTGTATGACCGTCGCGAAACGTCGCGTACAACGACGCCAGCGCGCACTTGCTCGTGCGAAACAACCTAGCAATACATATAAAAGGAGTCAAAGTATGAAGTTGCCGTTTTATTGGTAGCCAGAGTAACATTGAATTTAAATTAAGCCTGCATGGTTCGAGATCGGTCACGTATCCATCGGCTCAAAAAGGGAAGGACCACGCTATCACAGAATAACAGCATAAAATAGCATCTTAATACTGCTGTGTTTCGTATGGTGAATGTAGAGAACCATGGAACCTTTTTATTAGATTGGAGGCATTTCATTATAGTCCTTAGAGGTGACAACCGACATGTAAAAAAATTTGGAAAGACTTAAAACTCACAAAAGGACAGAATCTGTAAAAAAAGAAAAACGCAATAGTTGAGGCTAGATAAAATAACGAAACAATGCCCTAAAGTCTCGCCTATCTCACCTCACCCATAGAAAAGTCATCACCATCTTCGTTAAAGCCTTACATAAGTCCACTGCTGAACTTAGGCCTCCCCCAAGTAATGCCACAAAGCACGGTCCTGAACCACCTGCATCCATCGACTTCCTGCATGTCTTACCAGGTCGTCACTCCATCTAGTGTGGGGTCGCCCTACACTACGCCTACCGGTACGAGACTGCCACTCGAGAACCTTTCTTCCCCATCGGTTGTCGGTTCTTCGAGCTATATGGCAGGCCCATTGCCACTTCAGCTTACAAAGGCGTTGCGATATGTCGATCACTCCGGTTCTACTGCTCTATCCTCATTTCTAAGTTTATCACGCAGAGAAACCCCGAGCTTAACCTTCTCCATAGCTCGCTAAACAACTTTGAGCTTCCTCATACGGCCAGCAGTGAAGGACCACGTCTCAGATCCATAGGTCATCACTGGCAACACCCACTAGTTATACAATCTAGTTTTGAGGTATTGACTGACGAGAAGATGTGTCGTAATCTTCCGAACGCTGCCCAACCGAGTTGGAATTCGTTAAGTACCGTTTTTCAAGACGCTTTCAGAAGCTCCGCTGTAATTCCATCCTCGCCCGGGGACTTGCAGTTTTTAAGATGCGGGAGAGCCAATCTTATCTCGCTCAGACTGACGTCCGGAATATCATCGGAGTAGTGTCGGGTAAGACTTGCTCTTAGATCGTTTCTCACACTTGCGTGTGGCTCCAACGATGACTTGTGCTCTAGTGTGATAGAACCTCTCAATCTCACTCAAAATTTCAGGTGTCCCGTAAACGATGCTGCCACATTCGGTCTTCAGGTTCGACAATTGGCTCTTTTTGGCAGACAGATCCTGGCAAAGACTTTGCGGCCCTGGTTCCGCTCGATCGCTTCTTCAATACGAGCAGTATTGAAGTTGCGCAAGTCTCGCCGCATGCATTTGGAGATCTGTCTGTTCAGTTGCCTGCATGCTGTCAAATCTGCTGAATACTGCAGCTTCATATCCCGTTTAACAGCCATGAGATTAAGAGTGTGATCGGAGAGTTTCCTTCTGCGACGAGTCTTACAGAACTTAGCGTCGACCGCATAGGACAGTTTCCACAAACTTTTTATTCATATCGTCCACTTCATTACAGTCTTCTAGGCACTGAAAACGATTTTGTAACTCGAGCTGAAAGTTTTCGGGTCTTTGGATTAGAGCACGAGAGGGACGGGGCGTTGACTTCATTAGACGTAACCTCTCTAACTTCACGTTTAGGTTCAGTGTGCCATTCATGATCGCCATTCGGTGATCAGTGCCAGTGAAAACTTTCACCTTTGCGATCACTGCACAGATGTCGTCTGGTAGTCATAATGAAGTCAATCTCATTTTCTGTCGAACCGTCAGGGCTCGACCAAATCCTCTTTCTGTTGGGCCGCTTTTGGAAGAAAAAGTTCATCAATAAGAGTTCCTCTTTCTCTATAAAGTCGGCCAGCTGCTGGCCACTTGGGTTTCGTTGCCCGATTTCGAATTTCCCTACTTTCAGTACACCTTTCTCTCTTGTGTCTAGGTTTGCGTTGGAGTCTCCCATTAACATCGTATAGTGGGGTTTTGAGGAACGCATGGCTCTAGAGATATCCTCATACATTTCCACACCTCCTCATCGGGATGTGCCGAGGTTGGTGCTTAAACCTGTATGACCTCCAGCGAATACCGTTTAGTTATTCTGGGTATAAGGTACACAGCCCTCGTCTACACACTTCCAATCTTTACAACGTTGTTAAATCCTACACTTCGAGGATTACCGTGTCCTCCCCCTCTCTTCGGACCTCAGATAATCCTATAATATCCCAGCGCAACTTGTCATCTCTTCTTTCAACTCCAGGATCTTCTCGTCAGTCCTCAGTGTGCGTGCGTTATATGTTACCAGGTTGAGACGTCTAATGTGGCAGCCAAACCTCCACCAAAAATTCTAAACACCCCCTGCTTCGCTGTTACCATGTTCGCCACCGTAGCCAGGAATAGCGGGGCCGCCGGGGACTGGGCGCCGTTTATATGTGCCGTTGCGCATGTAATATACCCCATATTGCCATAGTTGCCACGCTTGGCGATCGGGTTGGTAACCGCAGTTTTATTGATTTTTGCTGTTATCTAAAAAATGTTGCTGCCCACCTTCTGCGTCAGTTTCCCTCTGTCGCCGCCAAAATGGTAACTTTTTGATGATCACTTCATGATGTAATCCACTATAGTCTTTTGGGATCCGGTGTATCAATAACAGCAAATGTGTATTGTGAAAGACTTCGAAAGGCAAGAACCTCAGAGAAACATCCTCAACTCTTCAATTGATGTTCGGCATAAATAATGATCTTTCTTTGAGACCGTAGAAAGTTAGCACGGATAAATACTTCAATTGGATAAATATATTTTTTTTAGAAAAAAGGCATAAATCATGCAGTGCCTTCGTCGTGTCTTGCATTGCTCTGAGAGCTATCTCTCTACGGAGATATCTGTTTCTCTCACTAGACGCTCGCTCATTCGAACTAGCAGGTATTGTTGATATTTTCATTAAATGGTAGTTATTTTTATTACCTATACAAGCCTGTTATTTATATTATACTTAAACATATCTTAAAAAATTTTGTTACATTTTTAACCGACTTCAAAAAAGCAATGATTTCAAAAGGAAGGATAGGCCCATCTAAATATTTTACTCATAACTTTACTGCGTCCTCCTTTCTGCCAAGGAGGGTCGCGTCCGTTTACGGCTTTAGTGGGTAAAAGTCTCCACATAACCACGCAGCGGGCTGCGTGGTATGCTATGAGCATTCTCCATCTCCCTCCCCCCGGATTTGCTTCGGGCGCAAAAAAATCATAACTTTTTCATACAAGAAAAAGTAGCGCATCCGTCGTAATACAAACGTCATATCAAAACACGACGTAACCAGGGTCGGATTTCGTAGTATAATTATCCTAATTGTACCATTATCTTAATCTTGGTAACGTATCATAGTTTGTAGTATATAGTATCGTAATAATACAAAGCGAAAATACCATAATTTTACCTAAAGGTCGACTTGTCGAAGGAGGAATGATAATTTATTGAGTCCTTTTACAATTTAATATTAACCCTACGATATAGAGAATTTTTGCATTGTACATGAGTACCGCGTTTTTTTAATAAAATTAGAATTAGCTCCCTTTCTGGTCAATCGACGCTCGATCGCATTTATGTTGCATCCTTGACACAACTATGATGAGGGGCTACCACAATAAAAACTCTATGCTTCAGAAGCAATCGGGTTGAAAACAGAATTTCAAAATATTTTATGAAACAGATTTTCAGATTCAATTAAGCAGATATGGTTTCTTTTGTACTCTTTTCGTTTTCCCTTATTGAATACAAAATACAAAAATATTAGGTACCAATATTCAAAATTTTACTTACACTAAGTTCTTTAGACAAAAATTAAACAGAAATAAACACAAAACCGTCAAAAAACGAAACTTATAGATAAACTAGACACGTGACGCCAAAATCCCGGCACATGGGAAAAAGAAACATGAAACGTCAAACGTGATATAATTTTTTTTAAATGGTATAATTTTAATTTCCATGTACAATATTTGTGGGGGTCTGAATCCAACCCTGGCCTAATCTTGGTAACGTAACTAAACTAACTGTAAAATAAAACTTTAAAAATTTAATTAAAATAAATTTTTAAATCTGTGTTGTAATTTTTACATTATTTTACCACGCAAATAGACATATTTACGAGAGGCAAATCTGTCCCGCGCGCGCACTACTGTCGACCGATTCGCATTGGCCCTAAATTGTAATTTTAGGGCCAGCGCACCGGTCCCTTTTAGTTGTACGGTCGGCCCGGTCCTTACGCTAGTAATATGTAAGTCAATGCAAAAAAGGGAAAGTTTTCAATTAGACTGTGTCTCTCGTATGCTAGTCACGCGATATTTTCATCTACTGTATTATTAACCTAACTTTGACCATTATTTTTTATTTAATAGGCTATACTTAAGGGATAATGCCATATAAACTTGGAAAAAATTAGACCACCCAAAAAATAAAAACAATATTTTTTTAGTGAAAGGTTAGAGCCGATTTCAAAGAACTAAAACGAAAAAATATTTCCACAATATATTTTCTGAACTCATGTCTTTAATTTTTTTTTTATATAGAATAGGATGACATACGAGCACACAGTCCACCTGATGATAAGTGATTGCTGTGGCCCATAGACATCTACATCTATCCTCGATTACGAATCAAAATGCAGATGTGTTGTCATCCGTGAGGACTTAATGCCTCGTTTCCAGTAAAAAGGGTCTCCGGTCCTCTACACTCACCATAAGAAACACAGCAGCAATAAGCTATACTATTTGACGCTGGTATTCTGTGAGAGCGTGGTACTTCCCCGGTCGAGCCGACCCATTCGTGCTACAACTATATTACTAATATAACTGTAGCATGGCTCTACCACGTGTAAAAAATTTATTTAAAAATATTATAAAATTAATCAATACAATAGTATTTGCATCAACTTCAGAAGCTATTATGTAGAAATTATTTTATTCTTTATAGTTCTTTTAAAATGGGCTCTAAGTTTTCACAAAAAAAAATATTTATATCATACACTAGCGACTCAACAATAGCGCCACCTACTGGGTCCAATTGTTAATCTAAACCATCCAGGGCACTGTCCAGCGCACACAAAAATTTTCCATCGAAATCGTTCGAACCGTCTTCGAGTTTTAGCGAAACTAACGGACAGAAATTGATTTTTGTATATACAATAGGTAACATAATTAACGCACACCCTCAGACACCCCAATTAGTATATTATGTTATAATCATAATACGTACACTGAATTTTTACTTAAACATTTTATGCACCGATTATTTATCAAATTAGTTAGTTATACTAATTCCGGAAGAATGTCGTGGTCACAGTACAAATCCACGAACGCAAAGACTTTAACGTGCTTGAAATAAAGTTCATTTTTCTTTATTTTTATTGAATGACAGAATTAGTAATAATACAAATAAAACTGCACTCTTAAAAGTCTTATTGCCTTAAGTTACGGTCCATTTCAGTTTGTTTTGACTGTACAGATTTAGTGTGACTGTAATTTACTTAGTTTTAATTATTTTTGGGATAAAAAATTACCTATATTAAAAATGATAGGAATCGATTCAGTAAACGATTCTGAACAAACTACTTTCTCAAAGTGCGTTAATTATGATACGTGTTGTAGAGAAGAAGATAAAGAAGAAAATTACATTTCAATTAAGACAAAAATATTAAATATAACATAAGTAATGTATTCAGATTAAAAACTTATTCACCTTACAACAAACTCGCTCATCTCGTTATCCAATTTATCGTTAACATATCAATAAACTAAAATACGATTTCCTTTTTGTGTATATGAATATCCTGGTCACATCCTGTGGGGTTGGAATGTCACTTCCCAATCAATTTAATACTTCGAAGTAATCGATATGACTACTTTATCAATTGTGGAATACAAGCATTCGAATTTCGATAATGATGTCCTCTTGGCCGATTTTACCCATAGCTACAACTTCTAGATACTATCAATAGTGCTAAAACATATAGGAGCTAACCTCGTAGGACACATTGTCCTAGATAGTTATAGGTGGCATACATAGTTATTATTTCCTACAATATCCTAAAATATAGCAAAATGTAACCATTTGTACCCCAATAACGAATTTAAAAAAAGTGTCGATTCAGGAGAATCCTACAAAAGTGCATATTTTTTATCTGTCATAATATTTTAAAATTTAAAATATTATAAACAAATTAAGTTTTTCTATCGTAAAATACTCTCGATTTGCGTTTTTGTTATAGAATAAGGGTAACAAACGAACACGCAGTCCACTTGATGGTAAGTGGATGCTGTGGTTTATAGACATCTACATTTATCCTCTATTAAGAATCAAAACGCATATGCGCTGTCACCACTGAGGACTACGATGGAATACCTCGTTTCCAGTAAAAAAAAGGTCTCCGGATCTCTACACTCACCATACGAAATACAGCAGCATTAAGCAGCTATTTTACGCGACCCATTCGTGTTACAACCACAATATAGCTGCAACTTGGCTCTACCACGTGAAAGTAACAATTATTGAGTAAATTTCAACGATTAGTACTTTCCATATTTTTCCTTTTTTTTATCTATTCACCTTTTGCAAACATAAAATACATAGAAAATGATCATTATGACGACAGATCGACCAATGTTGTGTAGGATCAATTACACATTACAAACACACATGCGTTCTAAATCTAACCCATCTATGCCCGATGTCACGTTTTTAAAGCAAAGTACCCACTGGAGCATGCGGTCGTCGATAATATTTTTTTACTATCAGCCAGTGTCAGTACGGGATGTTATCAAATGCGTTATCAACATCCCTACGTAACTATATTATTTTAAACACAATACATATTTAAAATCATTTATTAATTTTAACGTTCATTATTATGGTAACTTTTATTGTTTTAATGTTAATGTGACAGAATTTGGGCGTCAATGTCGTTACATATTTCTCCAAAACGTAAGCTGTGAATGCAAAACTCTACATTAAATAATATTCCATTTCAATGAAGATATTCTTGGAGATGTTATTTTTTGGTCATCATCAAACACGGTTAGCTTTCGGTATATCAAGCTACAAAGTATTCTTCTGTTAGTTCATAGCCCTCCCCCTAATTTTTCCTTTTTTTTTCGAGTCACGCTAAAGCTATATTATGGTTGAAGTACGAATGTGTCGGCTCGATCGGGAAAGGACAACTCTGACAAGCCTGACATTACCTGCCTTAATCCAAAAAAAGTAAAATAAGTAACATCTTCTATAATCTTAATATAATATTTAAAAGTATTTATTTCTACCATTAGCAAGTGCGTGCAGAATATCTATATTTAAGAACTTTCTATGTCCTCCTTAATATTTTCATTTCCAACTATTCAAGAACTGGAATTATTCAAATTAGATGAGGTTCTCTCCTTATCATCTCTTTCTATTGCCTTTCATTAATTCAAGTTCATCCAAAATTCCCCGCCCCCTAAAATCCGCCCGGGGTCATCGTCCCCCGGCCTCCTCTTGCTACGCCACTAGTAGGTACATATTGTTTACTTAATTGAATCAAGATACGAATTCGAAGTACGATTCGAGGCCGACCTACCGTTTCTAAACGCGTCGTATTTATATAACCATTGTAGTAAGATCGTCTGGTCACTGACCCTTTGTAGTAAACGTAACATACAACTTACGAATAATAAAAAAATGGAAAGTATGATAGTTCGATGTGTACTTAGAATGGAATTATCAAAAACAACCATTTTTTTCACTTAGCCTAAGTAGTAGTAGTAAGTACTCACTTTCTTGGGTCACTGGTTGTTGTCATTTGATGTTTAATCAAAGAGCGTATGACAGCTAAGAACCGAGTCCTGTCTGTGGGTAGTCGACAGCTTCCGTAGAGGCCTGCGACAAGTGATGCCGGCAGCGTCGGCGGCATGTGGTCCTCGCCGAGCATCAGGCACAGAGCTACCAGATGTGGCGTGTCGCGAAGCCATCCTAGAAGTTCTCCCAAAGCTGTAGCTTCCTGTAACAAGCAAAGAAGCTGGAGGTCCAGTATTCATATTTAAATGTCTAAGGTCTTTTAGAAATTGAAATTAAGGTTTTTGAGTATATGTACTCTATCACCGACCGTATTGTATACTAATGACCTACCCTGCCTTCGTCTGGATGGTGTTTTTTTTTTTGATGTGGCGTTATTGAGGATTAAGATAATCAAAGGCCATTTGTTTTATCAATTTTTAATATATTTTTTTTAAATCTTCAAGTTTTTCGGATAATATAGCCTAGAGCTCTCCTTGCATTGCTTTCTGTGTGTTCGTAAAGTTTCATCACAATTGGTTCAGCCATTCCAAAGATTAGCTGGCGAGACAGACCGACAAACCAACAGCCAGACAGAAATTTAAAAACTGGTTATTTATTCATATCTTAATAATAGCCAGTTAGTTCAATATTACAGTTAGAAAATTCAATTTCATTTATATTATGTATAGATTAGATACAAGTAAGTCTTATTGTTTACAACTTATTGTCAGAATCTTTGCTTACAGATGAATGATTTAATTATAGTTGATACAAATATTTAAAAATATTACTTTCACAAAAACTATACTTGAAAAATTTACCTTTTATCATTTAAAAATTCTAAAATAGCATCTTTAAAGCATTTAGCAACAGTTTGCGTATAATTTTATAAAGTAAAAACCGACATCAAATTGCTAAAAAAGAAATTATTTCTTTGAGTGAAATTTGTTCTCAAAGTTTATATGGGACCATCCCTGAAGTATAACCTATTTAAGGAAAAAAGAATCATTAAAATTGGTACTTTATCTGCGAAGATATCAATAAATAACCTTAAACAATAGTCCAATATGAAACATTTTACTCTATTTTCCACCCTTGGAGGCGGAATTTTTTCTTCAAAACTTAATGGGACCACCCTTGTGGTTTAAGCCTACTTAAATTAAAAAAAAAAAGAATTATTTAAATCGGTTCACAATCTGCGAAAATATCGCGTAACACAACACAGCTTTATCTCTCCCAAAAATTTGGTTTTCGTAAGGGTAAAAATACGGAAGACTCTGTAAACCTACTAACGACCACTCTGTATGCGTATCTTGATAGTAAAAAATCCTGTATTGGGATATTTCTGGACCTATCCACGGCTTTCTACACCTTATCTGTTTTTATTCTCTTGAAAAAAAAAACTAAAAAAACATAGGTATTCGAAGGGTGGTTTAAAAGTTATTTAACAGATCGAAAACAGCGTGTAAATATGTAAATATTGACCGGTCTATCAGGAGCTTACAACATGTCAATTTTGGAGTTTCACAGAGTAGCATCTTGGGACGTACACTATTTATCTTATATATTAGACATTCACGATATAACACTTGCAAATGCCAATACTTTATGCTACACCGAAAAGACCGCGGACATTTTTCACGGGTCTTTTTGGAAATCTGTTTGTTCCATTGCTGAACGAGGTATAAAAATAATAATTTTTATTTCAATAAACCTTTATTCAAATAATATCTTAATTTAAAATAGTCTACAGTAACGGGCCCCTTGAACTAGGATTAACCTGTATCTCATGTGTATGTGCTAATAGATACATTGACAAAATTTTCTGTTTCTTATACAAAATGAATAACATACCAACTAATTAGGGTTATTTCGGTAAAATATATTATCATTAATATACTTATGACATTAATTAATTTAAAACAATCAGCAATTTTTCCGTATCATCGTATGACAAATTTTGTAAGCATGTTCGAATTAAATTTTTACAATCTGCCATTTTTAATGGATACATGTACAAAATTGCATTTACGTGATTATACAGATTTCGGCGCAAGAAATACGTCTCAGTAAATAAGAGCACACATGAGACGTGAGCTCTTATTTCGTTTAGTTCACTTGGAACACAGCCAATGAAAACCCGTTTCACAATGCCGCAATGTGTATTTAAAAGTTGCAAGAATGATGACCGAAAAAGCAATTTAACGGACTCTGGCCGTTACTTCTTATTTTCGTTAAGTGCATGTATAATATGTTATATTTATACTAAGTATTATTGTCAAAGTGTTTAAACTGGAATATAAAATAATTATCAAAGTAATTTCATTGAATTACTATAAGTTGTTCAAAACCAGGTCGATCCTCAGCAGCACCAATAAAATTGTTAATTGCCATTTTAAGTGCTGATTTACCATATACTCAGCAGTGAAAGAAAACATTGTGAGGAAACCTGCATGTCTGAGAAATAAGAAAAAAATATATATTTCGAAGACATGTGAAATTCGCCAACACGCATTGAGGCAGCTACATTTAGACTGCAAATGAGCATAAATTTATGGAATGGTTATATGCTGAGTTAAGCTGCGCATACAAAAATTTATATATTAATTATGGTATGTTGCAAATTTCTCTGTTGCTATGTATGTATGTTTTCTTAACAAATGCCTTCTAGTCGAAGTTCGGTTTGAATATAAAAATTTATGCAGAGTCAGTCAAGCGACATGAATCTCTTATGCGGGTTAAGGTTATAAAATATCTCAGTGTACTTGTTGACGAAAATCTGGGATTTAAATCTCACATATAAGTTCTTTCAAACCGAATCAGAAGGATTATCGATATAATGAGAAAGCTATATTATACGAGGGCAGATTGAAAAGTTCGCGGCCTCATATAGACATGATTTAAAAATGTACTTCTTTCTGCCTTTGTGTGAAGTTTTAGTGTCACTTTTGGTTAAGAGTTTAGTGTTTTATTGAGCGTACTGAAGAAAACATCGGAAAAATTTGCGATTTGATACAGTAGGAGTAGGACCATAGATTGAAAATCCGAGAGATAGCTGAGATCATGGGCATATCGTATAAACGAACTCAAAATATGATTCATAATGAATTGGGGGTTTTCGAAGGTTTCTGCGAGTTGGGTACCGAGGCTCTTGCGATTTCGCGCAATTGTTTGGAATTGTTTCAAGCCGAACCATAAAACTTTTTAGAGAAATTTGTTACTACTGATGAAACTCGGGTTCATTACGATACTCCTAATTCAAAACAACAATCAAAAAAATGGAGCAGACCTGGTTCACCGCCTCCGAAGAAAGCTAAAGTGATTTTCTCTGTAAACAAGGTGATGGTATCGTGTTCTGGGATTCGAAGGGAGTGATTATGGTCGATTACCGACCGAAAGGAAGCACCATAAACTCTACTTATTACCACCATAAACTCTACTTATTACTGCATGCTTTTACGTCGGCTGCGTGATGAAATTAAGAAAATACGCCCAGGAATGTTAACCAAAACATTGTTATTTCATCAAGACAACGCACGTCACACGTCCTACGAAACGATGGCTGAAATCCATAATTGTGGGCTCGAATTACTTCCACACCCCGCTTATTCGCCCGATTTGGCACTATCTGACTTCCACCTCTTCTCCAATCTAAAAAATATTTAGGAGGACAGAAATTTACATCAAACGAATATAAAAAAATTAACGATGCCGCTAATGCCTATTTTGTCTGCCAAGATGAGGCATTTTTTGAAAATGGTATAATGGCATTGGAAATCAGATGGAAGTGCATTGATAAAAGTGGTGATTATGTCGAAGGATAAGAATAATTTTAAAATCTTCTGGTTTTGTTTTTATATTCAGACCGTGAACTTTTCAATCCACACTCGTATAACAAATAAGGTAATACTAAAATTTGTATACTACGCCCTCTGTCATTGCTGATACTCAAACTTACTGCATCACATGTTAGGGCAATGTGTCCAAAACATATTTAATACAGAGAGAGCACAGCGGGCAGTTTTAAAGGCAATGCTAGGAGAATCATACAAATACCCACTGACCTCTATATATACAAGTACGCTGGACTGGCTATATTATACAAAATGTCTGTGCCAATTTAAAGCACCCCCTAACGGTCGTCTTAGAAACTAAAATTGACATAATATGCCTAAGTCTGTTGTCATTAAATTGTCTTATTTAAAAAATCTGTATTTTGAACATTTAAACTAAAAAACGAAAGTATTTTATGTTGCTTGATTGTGTATAATATTAGTTACATAATAAGAATTATTTTTAATAACAATGAGAGTGTGCTTAATCTGTAAAACTCCTTACCAAAAGGGAAATGGTATAACATTTCACAAGTGAATTTGCAGCTAATATTAAACAAATTAAAACTATTTGATAATATAAGTACTTAAAAAATTTTATTAATCTTAATATTATCTATACCAACATGCTTGGCTATATATAACTGAGTTTTGATAAACAATAAAATTCAAATAGGGCTGTCGAGTTCCTTATCTATAATGCTTATCGATGTTCTTTCCTACCATATCTGTTAACAAACAAAGTCGCCAACAACAGACGATTACCAAATGTTTATTAATTTACAGGTTTCCAACTGAACCTAGACTAAAATTATGTCTTAAAATCACAAATATTGTGAATTGGCGTCCGAAACAAATATGATCATATTTGTTCTGAACATTTCACAGACGACTGTTTATTAGAGAGAACTACACCACTTTGAAAAAGTGCAGTATTTCGACAACATTTTCTGGTAGTACCAGTACCAGTAAGTATAAAAGTATTAGATTATTATTTCGAATGTTTTTTTTATTTCTTCTTTCCTCATTTTCTCCCAAACTCAAGGGCCATAGCCAAGTGTCGAAAAGTCGCCTGATGGTGTCGAGCCACGTTGGATGTGTGTTAGTGTGCTGTGGCTAGAGGAGATTCCTCTCCCTGTACCGCTGTAGTCGAGGTGGTCATCAGGGAAGAGAAGCGTTGTTATGGCTATTGGCGATGCGATACTACTCGACTGTCCTTCGCGACTTTGGTGAGGCTGCACCACTTGATGCTTACAAGTGCTCGTTTTTTCCTGGCTCCATTCAATCGGGCTCGGGGAGTCCAATATGTGAATGAAGTCTTGTCCGTCTCGGATAGTGCAGGTGGAGTCAGAGGCCGCAAAGGGCAGTGTGCCTTGTGTTTTTGGTGCGC